TTTAACGGTACATCGACACACGCTGATATTGCGTTCCGTTCCATATGTGACTTTTGTGTGTGACACGTATAAATTTCCTCTCCCTTTCGCTCACTCATTCAATCTCTTTCCTTCTCCTTCCTCTCTCTCTCACTCACTCTCTCTTTCTCTTTCCTTTCGGATGCCACATTGTGCACGGTATATTGCAAACAAGCAACACGACATTTTCATTTAATAAAAGCCTCATGGCATAAACACGGCATCTGAAAATGGTGCAACAGAGAGGGAAGATGATTTCGGGATACTTCAACAGATGAAATCATTTCGTTTGGTTCAATTTATTGGTGTTTTGTTGCTGTTATACGTTTTCCCCCATTTTTATCTAAACACAAGTCTGCAAATGCATACACGTATTTGAGAACGAAGCGAAAAAAAGTAAACGTTTATGCAAAGAGTTTTTCATAATTGCATTCCACGATCTCCGAATATTTCACAGTTATTAATGTGTTAGATTTACACTGAAACAATAATAGGATTTTAAAATTTACGTGCGTAAGTTAAATCATGACATTTTCATCGACATGCATTTCGAACGCAGACTAACTCGAATACGCAAAATAGTTGTCAGACATTCTCTTATTACTTTGAATCCTACTCAACTATTTATCGTAATTTCGAACCATTCCCCCAGGTGATAAATTTCGAAACTCAATTTTAAGTGTCTAGTTGGTTGACATTGAATGAAGATTTAAGCGTAATGACTTTACTTACTTAGTAGTGATGAAAAAATCAAGCGGTGCACAAACGGTTTTTTCTTTAAAAAAATACCCAGAAAATAAAACATTATTGCAGCCTGAGTGAGTAAATGGATCCTTGGCAAAATCAAACGAAATGAAACGAATTGAAACGAAAAGAATGAAATGAAGCATTCAAAATTGCATGCATTTAAACGAATTTCGTTCAGAGAAAGGATTCGATATGCTTTTTTGAAGCAGAAAAAAGATAAAAACAACAACCTGAGCCCTACGGTATTTTAATCTTGTTTTTGAATATAGGTCGCTGTGTTTTTCTTTCTCTTCCTCAATTTAAATAAAACTGTTCTTTGCTTTTATTTAATTGTAGCACATAACATATGGGTAATTCACAAATATCTAGAGAAATTACTAGCCACGAAACCGAAAAAAAAAAACTGAACAACACACGAGATAAAAATGTTAAAAACAAAATGAAAACAAAGCGATTCTGTTTGCCAGCACCTCGAACGTCGAACAAATATTTAACAATTCCATAGATAAAAAAAACCATAAAATGAATTAATTAATATACACAGCTGTTTAAAGCATCCCAACACAATATAAAACTCTTCAACACTCTAATGAAAATAAGTCAAATGTAAATAGAGAGAGCAAGAGAGAAGGAGAAAGAGAAAGAGAAGGAGAGAGAAAAAAAAGAATGAACACAAATCATTATTTGGTTTTTTTGTTCTCTGGTTTCGTGTAAGTCCATCCATCCATCCAATTCACTTTTGCTAGTGCGGTCTGTATATCCATTTGTTTCTTTAACGCATTGAGTTTGCATGCATTTTTCATCCGTCCTTTTTTTCGTGTTATCTTGATGACTTTGGTTTTGACGCTGTTATTTATAATGATCTTCTCTTTGCCTGCCACCAAATACCATTGTGTGCGCGTATACTTTTACACTCTACGATTCACTTCACCACAAAATACAAGTTCAATTCATTCCTGTTTCATAGGATCTCTCCAGTTTCTCGCTCATTCACTATATTCCTCTTTCCAGTCCCGCATTTACATTGAAATTCGTCTTCATTTCATTATGCATACTTTTCATCCATTCTGTTTATTCTATTCGGGTTCTTTTTTTTCTACCTTTTTACTTTTATGGCTGAGATATGTATGTGTTTCTGTGTGTATAGAGATTCTTATGTGCTATAAAATGTCATGCTTGATTCGAATAGAATTTTTTTTTCCGAAGATTTTGTTGATTTCAATCGATATTGCTGTTCATAATGCATTAAACAGAATATTCAATAATGTCCTAAAAGGAAAGTAATGGACTGGACTGGTATATCCTGAAATCTCATAGTTCGTTTTTTTTTTGTTTTAATTAAATGCATTTCAAATGATGAATATCCTCGATTCATAAAAGAAAATCTATTATTTTTTCATTAAATTATAAATATAACATTTGAAAATTGAATAATGAGCTAAGGGACTGCATTTGTTGTTATAATCATATATTTTTTTTTGCTCGAAATTAGTTTTGCCGTTATATTAGGGTGAATGTTGCAGTGACCCTAAATTTTCATTCAAGTGCATTTTTGCCAAGTTTATTAAATTCCAATTCGAATTCTTGGAAATATTTCAACGTACATGTTGTACTGTGTGTGTGCATACATGTCTTTGGTACTATTTATTAAATAAAAATTCGCAGCTCAAACTTGGGGTCAAACTACACTTCAATCGTACTCTTTACCAATATACATCGCGTTCGAGAGAAGCATTTCAATGTTTAGTCTACTTAAATACATTCTTTTAATGTTTTTTTTTTAAATATAATAACAACAATGTAAATTAATACGTAAATGAAATTATACGTTGTTGGATTCTAATGAGTGATACACGATTTGCTGTGTTCATACAAATGTCGTAATTGGTTTTTCTTTGCACAAAACTAAAATGATCATAAACTGCGAGTAGTTGTTATTTTTTTTTGTTAACAAAAAACTAAATGAGTGTTGAAATAGCATTTTGCACTGTGGCAAATGCATTCAAAAGCCATCATAAGATGACGTGAATATGGGATATACACATACACACATTTCAGGTCTATTTCTAAATGGACTAAACATGTTCTTAAGTCAATGTGTAAAAGTTAAAGAAAATGAAATAACAACAAAACTGCTGCAAAATTGTGTTAATTGAATTGAATGTGTAAAGTGCGTTCTAAAAGGTTTTTCACATTCTTGATGATATTCAATACGCACGTTGATGAAATGCTCAACCAACTCAAGTTTAATAATTCCAGAAATTTCTGCCGGGTTAAACTGCAACGAAAAAAAACTTCTAAATTCATTTGAAAATTATTCGCATTGAATGTATTTCTCGCAAACTAATATACCATAATAAAAATTCTTTTTCCTTTTTCTCATAAAACTTTGCCTAAGTGCAAAACGTGCTCATTAAGAATATGAAGATGGTTGATGATGAAAAAAAAATCTTGGAATTGTAATTTCTACCTTTGTTTTCCGTCGCAAATAAAGTTCCATTACACTTTGTTTTCCATCGCACTTATAGGCTTTTTTTCCAAGAATATAAAAAGTCAAGAATCGATGAAGTTTTTTTTTGCATTTCCGATTATGTTCTTTGTTCAAATAGACATTTTAATTAGTAAAGTTTTGCACCATTTTGATGTGAAGCCTTTCGATCAATGAACGAAGCATTTTCATGAAAACAAAGAAATCGTATCTTGAAAATGATTGAAATCATTTGAAAATTTCTTGTTGAAAATCAAAAATTAAGATTGATTGTTGATTTTTCTACTCCAATGAAAATTCATTCTCATTGGATCTTTTTATACTTTCTATCGAGTTATTTTTTTTATCGCACTTTGGAGCATTCAGAGTGTATGCTGAACATTTCGTTATCACATTTTGTAAGCACTTCAAATCTCATAATTCTGGTAACTATTTCAAAAGGTTATTTTTTTCTCGCTTGCAATCTTTTTTTTCTTGTGTCAAAATATAACGATAACAGTTATCGATTTCTTTCCAACTTGAGCCGTATCAAATGTCAAAAAGTTAGAAAAGGTATTCTCTTAGGTATTTCTATTGAAATCAAAGAATTGTTATCCCATTATTGAAGCTTTTTAGAAGAATGAGAATTTATGTCATCCCGAAAGGAAACATTTTTTGCACTCATGCATTAAATCCAATCCTATTTAGCACTCACGAGTGATTCCTTTGTGGAACATCTCCATTTTGCTATTACATTTTGGAAAACGTTATGAAATAAGGGCATTTTTGTGATTTTATTGCCAGCTTCCAAAAAGTATTATTAATCAGTGATAGCCTATCTATAGGGGATCCTATTTCCAATTATACAACATGATTTCTTCTCCTGTAATGAATGTTTTTATTTGTAATTATACCGTATCATCTTATTTACATTGACGTAGGATGTTTGATACTGCCCTTGCAATATTATATCATTGTTTACTTCTTACTATTTATAAATAAAATCTATTTGAATGCTTTTCTGGAGAATTATTTTTCGAATCGTGTGCAATAAAAATGAATGACTGACTGCTGCCACTAATAAGCAATTACAGTTAACCAAGTTTTTTGTAAGTAAAATAATGGTGTTTGATGTAATTTCGAACAACTATTAATTTTGTTCGTTTTTATTTTATTTGCTACCAACTCAAAATATTCGCATACGGGCCATTTGATCAATTGATGAACATCTTCAGTTTTAATTTGCTGAGAAAAACAAAACCTACTCATAAAATTATTTAGGTATTACGTGGATTTTCATTTTTTAAGCTTCACAAAGATGTTGTTTAAATGTGCAGGCATCATTAATTCATAGCTATTTGCTCATGCATTACACCTAATACGGTTGAATAATATGAACGGTCTTATTAATATAGCCGTGGGTCAAAGTAGAAAAACGCGTGTGGGTCAGAATTAAAACCGGCTGGTAAATATGTTTTTCAGCTTGAATGCACGCTCCGAAGCTCTGAATAAGAATTGAATAAACATTAACACATTCAATATTAAATTATTGCTATTTTGCAATAACATCTCTGTTGTTTGTATTTGAGCACTGTCAATAAACATGAATACACAACATGGGTCGAAAATGAAATCCAACGGTTTTAAATCAATTGATTATATTATTTTAAAATGATGATTTTGAAAACATCTCTGCTACGTTTATTTTATAATATTCGACTGATAATCAATGTTCAAACTTTACTAAATCGTTGTCTATTTTTTTCAGGTTTTACCACAGAAATGAGAAACATGAACATTTTACCATTACAACATTGAAATAGGAAAAAAAAATAACAAGTGAACTTTGTGAGTGCGCACGGATTACATATATTTTTCAATAACCCTTTCCATTCGTCAACTACGTTTGGAAGTTTTAACCGCTGGAAGAAAAAGACATTTTTTCGAATTTTGTCGACGTTAAAAATTCAACAACCTTTTCAATGGAGGAGACTGATTTCAATTGGTTTCCTTATCTAAAAAGGAAAATAAAATATTAAAAGTAAGTAGAATGTGCGCACACTTATTTTGGCCCTTAAACACATATAAGACTCATTCATTATTCATCTTATTCGAAATGGATAAATGGATTTCCAAACAATCAAATAAGAAAATGTAGATGACGTTTAACAATTCAAATGCATTTAGATTTAATGTTCAAGAAAGTTTTAAGATCGCATCTTTCATACGGATGGACGCTCGCCCGATTTTATTGTATTGGGTGTAATTTTAAAATCAAAATCAAACTATCAATTTCGATCGAAATATGTTGGAGAATTTCCAAGGAGCGAGATGGGTCACGAACATTATAGCGATTTTTATATTTATTTATTTGGGAATAAGGATTAAAAAATGAGTAGCAATTTTGCCACAATTATTGTCAAACACATCAAACACAATTAGCACACCATTTAAGCCACTTCACCACAAAATTCTTAGACTTCATTCATATCTGTCTCACACATGCATTTCAACACATATGAAAATCCCAGTTTTCCGGCATCTTCATCTCGAAATTTAAATATTTCCAATCGTTTGGGCGCTAAATCTCATAAAAACAACCACAGAAAAATTAAAATTCTATAAAATTCACATGTCAGTCTAACGAAAACCCATTTTTTCTTACTCAACAATCAGTGTGTTTAAATGGTTTACGGCAAATTAATTTATATGATGTAGCAGCGTCGTGATTGTCATTTGAAACGGGAAATAGATTAAAGTAAACTTCCCCTCCGTTTAGAAAATCCGTTAATCTCAATGCGCGGAAAACTTTTTCCATACTAAGATAAAGCAGCAACTTCTGAACTGTATTCAACATGTTATATTGATGTAACAAGATCAAAGTGTCGTTTTCCTCCTTACAAATTACCGTTCACACTTCATAAAGTGAATATTTTCAAGACAAAGTGAATGTGAAGCCGTTGTTGTTGTCGTCAACAACAACATCACTATACCTGTCTCACTCCTTCTTTCATTACATCTGGTTCCTTTTGTATTTTATTTGTGAATATTTCGATGCAATTGCAAACGAAGTATAAGATTGTATAGTTTCCAATGGAAAACACTTACTAATCTGTCTCGATTCTCAACGGCGACACCATGACATGTTGCACATTCATATTTTACATAAATTAGTGTTGAAACGTGACTTTAATAAACTTTTCCAGAATAGTTGTTCTTGGTGGCGTTCGGTCCGGCTTCATATTTTGTTTCATATTTTTCTTTCATTCGTCGGTTCATTCTTTATCAGTGAATCGTGTCTATGTTTATGGCATTTCAAACGGATCAGAGCAGATGCCCTTTTTATGACTTTTATTCTTCGCTTTATCTATATGGCTTTTAATATAGCATTTATGTTTGTTTTCATTTTTTTTTTTCTTAATTTTTCTTCAAATAAGACATAAATCAAGTTGCAGTCATCGTTTCGTAATCAAAATGACATTTAAAATTGCTTGAGAAATAAGATCAACATTTTTCTACCGAAAATAATAGATGAAAAGAAAAGAAAATCGAAACCACTTTAAATCAAATTTTTGATGCAACGTTTGATTCGTTGCGCAAAAGGATCAAATTCAGTGTACGAATATCTAAACAAAACGAACCGAAATGGAAACAGTCACGCCGCCTTAATTCATCGCAATGACATCAGCAACATATTTCTTTCATTCATTTTCTCTTTTGATTTGAACTTCCAATCACATTGCATTTAAGTCAAAATTTCGATGTCATTTTCGAAACTAATCATTTGACTGCCAAACATGTCGAAGAGAAGTAAATCTAATTGATACGAACAACGGTGTAATTTTGTTTCCATCACGTTAAAGTTGATTTCAATTTGCACATGAAATTAAGTCATTTATCACCAAAATGGTGAAAAAACCACTGGTTTTAAAAATGCATCGGATTTGAAGTCAACATGCAAAAAAAATGCTGGTTCTATTTTCTATATGAAGGCCAAGGATTGTCCTGGTTTAACTGAACGATTTTTCGACACCAATTAATGCACTAATCGGATTTTCATTTCGGTGTTCATGTGACAGCTATATTTTTTTATTTCTGCTGTTGTTTTTGTAGTTGTAAAATTTTATTAGTCAGCTAGCCTGAGCTGATAATGCGACTTCTGCATGACACATGACGGTATCATTATGAGTGGAATAACATACTCGAACTGCGATGAAAAAAAAACCTAACGGATTGAACACATATTTCGAATGAAAAAACAAAAATAAATTCCATTCTTGTTTGCTTTTAAGCATTCCCAGGGTATTCGATGTGTACTGTATTCTGCTGTGAACCAAACGAAAACGATTAAATGCACTCAAATTACTTGGCTCACATTTGGCGCGAGTAAACAAAATATGGATTTTTTCACTGCTTTCAACTAAAACTAATGGAACACTATGTTATGACTGTTATTAATGCAACAACCAACGCTCAGTAAACTATAATGTTAATATAGCTCAACTACAGAAGCAACAGCAGCAGCCATACAAATGTATGCTAGCCGATGCCAGCATAAACAATTCCCTCAATCCACACATACAACACATAACCATTTTTTGACAGTTAATCATAATAAAATTTAGGGCATTAGAATGAACGCACGGCCGGCGACACGACCCATTACATACAAGAACACACGCAGACCAAATCCAATAAATGCCTTTTAAATTAAATTTTTTTTTTCTCATTTCAATCGTAAGCGATTAATTTTCAGCAGAGAAAATAACAAATGGTTGAAATAGAAGAGACATAAACAAAAGGGAATATGTAAAGAAGAACCAGAAAAAACCAACATATAAAAATCATGAAAGGCAAGAAGTCATAGTATGACTGTCATACCATCTTATTTGGATCGTACTAATCTAACTCATTTTTTATATCAATTGCCTCACATTTTCATAGCAAGTTGAATGAATAAATAAAAATAAGTTTTCCGATGGTGAATGTAACCAACACCAAAAATGCGAGCAACTACGAAATGTTGAAGAAAAACGATATCTTCATTATTTTTCACTGATTATTTTCGAACTTATTTGGTTCGTTTGCTCGCTTAAATAAATGATTACGTTCACATCCATGCTATCGATTGTGGGCTTAGTGAATGTCAGTTATATGAGACTTTTTTTATTCCACGTTTCTCATTTAATTGAAATGCCAACTTTATATATCCACACGGATCGATTTCAGAGCTAACAAAATAGGTTTCTCGCAATCAACTTGAAATAAAATCATTAGCAAACGAAAATTTAATTGTAAACGACACATAATAATTTAATTTGAGTCATGGTGATGTGTGCATGGGGATATCTGGAATCAATTTATGCTGTTTGGCGTTCTTTAAAATTTCTCATTTCAAGTGCTATTATAAAATGAAAAATCATAAACGTTAAAATTCTAATTTACGTATAAATAATAAATAATGAAAAGGAAAAATGATGATTTCCATCGATAGATTGAATGCCTAGAGTTGCTTGATGAAATGCCAGACGATTGATCAAATAAAGGAAATGAAACCCTATAAATTTGAGAACTAGAGAAATTAATTTATTTTATGAACCATTATTATTTTATCTGTTACAAACTACTGGCATTTCTTACAATGCGTAGCGTGTATGTGTTTACGGTTTTACTTGAAATGAGATTGAGAGAAGATGAAAAAAGAGACCTCAAGGCACACACATATGTACTGCACTGTTTTAATAGCAAAAGAACATTTAAATGGGTAAAACGGAACGCAAGCAAAAGCGAATTAAGTATGTGCGCGCGCAACATGCAGCGCCGTATTCATGTTGGCATTTTTAAGTTTAAGACTTAAGAGGCCGACAGAGTGAGAAAGAATGTCAAAAAGGTATGAGCGAGTGAACGAAAGAGGATGAGTGAGCGTTGTATATGTTGATTGTATTCGATCTACACATGCGATATGAAACTCGTTTAGCGTATCGTTTCATTTGGCTTTGTACATCGCCTCTTGCAGTGACGACCACGAGAGCGATTTTGTTATTCTTTCTCGCTGTTTGTTGTATCTCATTTCATATCGGACTATTGAGTTGATTTTGCTTTGCTGTTGAATTTCTGCCTCTCGCGATCTTTTCTCGTTCTTTCATTGTTCTGGCCGCATCGCGCGGCGCGTTCGCTTTTTATAATTTAAATTTATATTTATGATAGTTTTTTTTTACGACTTTGAAAAGAAAACCAAGAAAAAGGAACAAACGACCAAACGAAAAAGACGGTGATAGAAAGAGAGAGAGTAGGAGAAAAGATAACTTATACCATATTGCCGCGTTCTCATTCAAAACAGTATATTTTTTTCTGTTGCTACTCTTACATTCTGTCACAGTCGTTTGCATGCGATTTCGTCTAAAAATTACTCTCTATGGCTTTCTCTCTATCTTTCGGTCACAAAGAGAACGACTACACTTTACACAAAATTTATTTAACTGAAAAAAAACACAAGCATTCCAGCACGCAGACCCTTCAAAACTGTCCGCTACAGACTGCCGATAAACTATTTGGCTTCCAATTTGATTAAAAGTTAACGTTATGTCTCTTTCACACATTCATTTTTGTCAACATGCACATACACACACACACGCGCGCGCGCTCGCGCATTATTTCAACGTTCTTATAGAGTTTTTGTAAAATTGCTGTTCAATTTTGGTCGGTTCTTTTCAAACAAATTTCTGTCAAATCGAATACACAATTTGATTTCCAAGCATAATTGAACGAATCCGTATCACAAGTGTTGAAAACTCAAATGGAGTGGCAGTAAAAACGTTAAAAAGACTCAATTGTTACTCACATATAGACATTTTATGGGTTCGCTTGTACCAGAAATTTATTGGTATTTTTCGTGCGCAATTTCTGACGACCTATTCCATTAGAAAATTGTTATATATTAGCTTTTCAGAAAACAAATTTGTAAGCTCAAATTACGTTTTCTACTTTCGTACCGTCTAAAATAGGAATGCTTATAGAAAACAGAACCAAAAATAATATAATATTTTTTAGTGAATCCTTTCAAAAGACCTTCTATCAAGTTTTCTTGCCTGCTGTTCCTCAAAAACATCTGACACACACTGTTTTTTTCATACGATCATCGAACTAATTCAAATTGTACGTTCTGTTAGGGGTGACTCATTTTTGGTAATTACATTTTCTATATATTTGCCGGTTGAAATGACTCTTGATTGATACACACATAGTGCAAATGAGATTCTTTTTATACAAAAAAATCCATTCAATTCAGAGAGTAAACCATCAATTTGTGCATATGTCTGCAACAAAATTACAGTTATTGTTTTTTTCTTTAAATTCATGGTTTTGTTAGTAGCATCGTATTCCATCAAATAACAGCACAAAATGAGCTCAATCAAAAAGCGATAATCAATGGATTTTAGCCATTTTACATTTGTCAACATAGAAAAACGACGAAAACAGTTCGTTTTAAATGAAATCGACAGTTGTCGTAAAATGCAAATCAGAACGGATTCAAAGTCATTTGAATGTGAAATACTCATTAAAACGATTTTGAAATATTTATGGTTCCAATCGTGTTTATCACCATGACCAACCGCAATTGTGATTGGGGATCTTAAAATAGTTCTCACGGTTTAAAATCCAGCATAAAATTTCATAAAAAATATACGAACATTTATATTCTAAAACATGACCACCGACCAATATCACCTCGTTCGAAATTAAGTTGAATCTAAAGCAGCTCATTAATTTTTCAAAGTTATCTTTTAGTCATATTGACGTTGATAGTTTTTTTCTTTTCGCTTGAATTTATTCCAAAGTGAAAAAAAAGCAAAAAAAGAAGTGCTATTATGAATTTACATTTCAGCAACAGATACTCAGTAATCATCTGAAAAATTCATCGAATCAATAAAGTCTAATGAAGCGTACAAGGTATATGCTTAGGTTATCAATGTACTTGTTTCCGAAAAAAGAGAAAAATACTAGAGAAAAAAGTTTGAATTTGAAATCGACCTTTCTCCCTCTCTCTCCTAACATCCGTGGTTTGATGATGGTGAATTTCGAGCAATCTAACTGCCAATTGTGTTGCAACAACATTAAGACGAGAAGAAGAAAAAAAACCACAAGATTCGTTGCTGAAAAGGCACAAATATCTATTTTTATGGCTCAACACAATATTGCCAAAAGCCATAACCAATAACCATATCGTTATAATATTATTAGCATTGTGTTTATGTATATTCTCATCGGAAGAGTTGAGCAAAGAATCAGCTGAAAGAAAGACGGCAGAATAAAAAAAAACAAACTGAATCAACTCTGGAGTTAGAGAAAGATCTCTTCTCGTCTATAAAAGTATCTATCCATTCGTTTTGACACTTTTTCCGCATCGGCATCGAGTGGATACCAAAAGTTGGATTGGAGGTTACTTGTTCGATGCATAAAATGAATACGAAATACGGTGAATTATTCAAGTGTTAGTATAGTCAAAATCCGTAGCGTTATGTTTCATCGAATAGAGAATAGCTCAGCGATGGATACAGACTGAACGTATGATTCTACGACGTGTACCAAAAATCCAACGAGTAAAACTTGATTCAAAATAACATTGGTGTTCCTTTGCATTTGTGTTTCGTGTGCTGCTTTTTTGGTTCCTTATTATTGCTATTAACATCAGAAAGCTGAACCGGTTCTCTTTGCTCTATCGCATCATCTTTCCATTTAACGTTGGCTCAATGTTGTGGTTACTTTTTCAGTTATCGTTTCGTTTTTGCGCATCTCTCTCTCTCTCACGAATCGAGAAGAAAGTCTTTCGTACGGTTTGTCATTTCGTAGAAAATGCAAATGAAACCCATAATTTGTGCATAAATTGAAAAAATACGCAGAAAAGCCCGAATCAAATCGAACAATTTTTGGTGAAAATGTCTGTTTATTGTTTAGTTGTTGTTTGTGCACAGCACGTTACTGTTTCAGGTTAATCATTTGAAATGAAAGTCACAAAAACAATCACCGAATGCAACTTGGACCCCTTGAAAATGGTATCGGTGATATGGAATTTCTGCGTATAGATTATGTGACTTAAGCGTAATCTGGATTTATCATTTGTCCAATTGTCATTAATTGTCTGAGCGAAATAAACATATGCGCACGGTACACACGGTTGTGGATTATTAGAACGGGCGTTTAAATGGCCTTTTCTACATTATTTCTACTTTCTTTGATTTACCATATATACATTTTTTTTTCTTCATAATAACTCTTGTTAGGTCCAATTTGGCATACACATTCACATTTATGCAAACATATACACAGCACAATCATTCATTAAATCCACTTCACTCATTTGTACAACGCACACGTAACTCGAAGGCAAAATTGTGCATGCTACTCACAATCGAATGTATCAAGATTGGGGTTCTTTGGACGGGCATGAATATTATTTTCGTGTACATGCAACAAATAATTGTAAAACAACAATGCAATTGATAGGTAGCACACATTCGGTCACGTGTCAAACAGCTATGCTTCCCATAATCGCAATGCCGCAATTTCTCTTTCGTGTGCACGACCAGAGCAAAGGAGTAAAATTGAAATTAAGACCGGTGAGCAGAATGCACACTGCTTTATTTTTCATTAATACGAGCCCAAAATCGCAATATTCTACAATCAAATTTAACGGTTCACGTCAAAAATGTGCATACTTAAATTAAATGCTAATTATTTGGTTAACCGACCGATTGTTTTTTATTGGAAAAACCACAACCGATGAAATATGTTATTCATTTGAATGGTTAAGAATAATAATGAAACTTAATTTTGGTTCAAACTGGAGTGTCCCGCAGAATTATTTCAAATGAAAGTGTCCCGAATATTTGTTTCAAACTAAAATGTCCCCACAAAAAAGATTCATGTAAATTTTCCTAAGTGCCATTTTCATTTGCAATAAATTTGAGGGACACTTTAATTTGAAATAATTCTGTGGGACACTCCAGTTTGAACCAAAATTGAGTTTCATTATTATTCTTAACCATTCATTTAGAACATAGATTGTTTTTTCAACTATAAAATATTTTACTTTTGTATACAATATCAGTAGCTTTGGTTTTATTTTGAATTGTCGTTTATTTTCTGTTTAAATTTCATCATTTATAACCATATTTCTTTCATTTCGTTTCATTTGATTTTTTTTCTTTTTCTTTTCATCTATGTTTCGTTTTGTATGGTTTTTTTGTGTGTGGATCTTACTGAATTCGATTCAGACTTGGAATGTATGGAACAAGTGAAGAACGGCGTTACATGGGACCAGCTGGTTCACAAACGCAGCATCACCACAATTCGCATCCACATTCAAATAGCCAACAAGCAACTGCTGTACCGCATTTGGCACCGCATCCAAACACTCCATTTCCGTCGTACTTTTCACCATACTCACATTTCCAGCATTTGGCTGCATTGCATACCAGTTTCGGTGGCAGTAATCTAAGTACAACCGATCTTATTCTTAACCAAACAAGTGCTCTCACATCGAGCCTATGGCCTGGTTCGCCAACACTCTCTTCGACAACCAATGCTCATTTACCACATACACCGTCTAATGCTGCTAGCAGTGGACGCTTATCCGCTTTTGATTTTTATACTAATGGCCAAGGTGAGTTTTATTCCACTTTTTTTATTTTCCCTTTTAAATCGACACTTCTATTATTTAATACTATTGTCCTCAAAAATAAAAAAAATACTGTTTTAAAGTTGATGTGATGAGATTGAAAGAATTAAAACTTAACTTTTTGTGAACACTCAACGTTGCTATTTATTTAGAGATTTTCACGGAATGCAAATTTAATTTGACACTCGACAAACTTCAAAACTTTTCGCTTGGTGATTTTATCACCTTTTGAAATATTTCTTTCAATGGTTTTTCATTTTAAACTCTTGCGAAAATACATCTGAATGTCGTTCGCAAATGAAAACACTCAACTCATGTAAAAACAATAAAATGTCATCAGGACCAGAATTATGATCAAAATGTAAATCAACCATCAATGAAAAATGTAAATTGAATTTCCATCATTCGACATTAAAATTGAAAATAATTCATTCAATACTCAATATTTTGCATGGCCTTCAGGTGATGCATTCATCAAAATGACAATTAAAAAAAAAAGATAATATGAAAAAGTTTTAAAACATAATTATTGAACGAATTCCATGATGTGTAATTAATAATGATAATAATATTTTAATAATGAATTTACAAGTTTTTGCAACATTTTGAGAAAAAACATTGAGTTCTCTTTCTCTCTCTCTCTGTCTCTCTCAACGTGACCTAGTTTTGAATTTGAAATTATCCATTTCATACAGGTTTTGTATATTTTCGGGCGAATTGATTCACTCCTGTTATATTATATAAAGCTCATTCGGAAAAAATCAATAAAATGGTTTATGTAAATTCGCGTGGCCCAATTTAAATTCGCTCTATGTGCATTGCAGCTATGTACAAACATGTATACAATGTATTTAATCATCATTTCAATGTGGCAAATATTCAATTGCACTTTGCGTGGCCAATGCAAAAGGCGTGTGTATTACATAACAGCAAGCTGCAAATAATTGTTCAAAAACCAAACCATATAATTCGAAAATATCGTCAATTGTGGATGTAATTTAGCATTATATTTATCTATTGTCTAATCAAAACGATGCATTTGCATCGCACAAGCAAACATTACACAACACAGAACAAACAAAATGCAGTTCAGGTAAATTGCACATGAATTAAATGCGTGTAATGTCCATGCAAATATTTCATTGGTATTGAATAAACAATTTAACGCATAATTTCCGAACCATCCAATTGTATGGTTTATGATTTCATTTCTGTCTAAAATCATTTGAAAAACAGAAATTAATTGCCGTGCAGTTTATCCATATAAAGGTAGACGAATAATTGTCATAAAAATATCTCCATTTATCTGTGTGCGAATTCATTGTAAAAGTCAATTGGCACCTAAGTTGCAATTCTTCACAGTTTCATTTATAATTCGATTTGATGTTATTAAAAATGTGCAAATGCTTCGAGACGTACTCCTAATGAATGACTCATTCCTGTTGGATCAAAGATATGGTCACAATTTTTCGCACTCAATTTTAATTTGCATAAATGTTTTAATTTTTTCATTTTGTTCATATATTGCCAACATACGAAAAAAAAGGATCCGATAAATTATTGTCAGTGTTGCGAATTTGAGAATTTTTTGTTTTGTTTTTGGAACATTTCCAAACTTTTTTTTAAAGATGTTTGTTCCGTTATGTCCTTGAGATCGTTGGCTGGTTTCGCATAAACTGTAAATTACTTGGAACCAGAAGATGTTATATTTTTATTGCAGCTTAAATTTGTACATAAATAAATTCGACGATGTACGAAAATGTATTTGGCGTGAATAATAATGAAATGAAATGCTAATATCTTAAATTCTTATTCTATAAATACTGGTATGATTTAAATACTTCCAGAAAACTTTCAAATATTTTCCAAAGTTTTCGACATCTTTTACACTTATCTTAAATTTGTCACTTAATTAGTTTTTCAATTGCCACAATAAATTACAACGCTGCGTAATATCAAACTGATGTAAATGAGCATTCTTTCTTAGTTTGCTTAGGGCTACAGATACCATGTTACCGGATATACTTGGTAATGAAACTTGTAGTAGAATTTTGATTTTTTTTTTGCATTTTATGCTTAACATTTTTGACAAATGGTAAACAACTTCCCTTTAATCGTCGGTTTTGATGAAAGAGATACACATTGTTTAGACAGAAAGAGGCCAAGATTCTTTTCAAACATACCATATGCATTCTGTTGTTTATGAAGGGAGATTATATCTAAAAGAACTATATGTTGTCGGCCACTTTAAGTCCCGAGTGTCCCAATTGGGCTATTTTTCGGCTTAAAATGTCGATTTGATTAATCACCCCATCATCAAGCAAATAAAACCAAAACCAGACAAAGGTAGTTATTCCAAGTCGAAACAACATATTTTGGCTATTATTCATAAGGAATGCAATATTCAAATTTCGTACTTCCGAGAACTGTACATTGTGCTGAAAATTGAATTTTTTTTCTTGCATTGTTAAAATATTTGAAATTCAGCGGTAGTTATTTCAAGGATGCCATTGGCAAAACAAAAAGAATGAAGGAAATAGGATTTTGGAGAAAAGTCTGGTAAAATTAGCATTCTTTATATTAGTTGTGAATGCGAAATAAGTTTGATATGCCCAAATTGCACGGGCACACGACAAAGAGAATGGGAAATGAGAGAGAGAAAGAGAGAGAGACACAGGGGAAGAGAAAGAGCCAAAAGTCAATCGGTAACCGAATGTATGCATAGAGTTTTCATGGGTGATAATATTTTGTTCGTTTATATGCCTTAAAATGCTTGCCCGCACGCAGATAAGTATCGCTCGTGAACAGGAAATGAGTTTTAGCTTCATAAAAAATATGTAATTTATCTACTCATACTAACATCAGCCACTCCGCACCATACTACGTTGCGTATTTTCCGTTGTTGTCGTTGTTGTCGTCGTCGTCGTCTTTTCGGTGCTTGGTGCCTTGTTAAAACCGCGTAGATTTGTACCCAGCATAATTGATCAATGTATACGAATACTAAGCACAAAGAACGATGAAAATGTGTATTTCAAACTGAGCCCAAACCAATGCAATGCAATGTGTTTTCGCAAAAGTCCAGAGTCTAAATTATCGATAAAAACGAATGCGTCATGGAGTTGGAATTTCATAAGTTTTAGTCTCTGCCATTGTCAACCAATACGAATGCATTGTGTGTTGGTTGTGAGAGCGCGCGTGTGAGTGTGTGGCACAGCAGAGAGTCGTATTGTATGCATGCAACGTTGCAGATCAAATCTATTTCGCTCTCACATTCTCTCACTCTCTTTCGCTCTTGCTTGCTCCCTTGCCAATCGTATACATAAAACAACGTGTATATCTGCATACAATGTCTAATGAATGCTATGCGAAAAAGAAATTAATGCAATCATATGTACGCAGCCCGAAGCCTATGTTAATGGCCATGTACCGCTCGCTGCATTTTGCAGCTACAAGATAGATGGATGAATTGCAAATATTATATGGGCGTGGAATAGAAACGAGTGTTACATCGAAATTTTATGCGTGCCGTCGATATATTCTTCGTTGTTAGCGATTTTCGCCACAAAATAAGGAAGGGAAACACAACTTGGTATACTCTCTTTTTTTATTATTATTATTTGTGGAAAAAAACACGACGCACTCACAAATCCCATTATACAAAATAACATAATTACCAGAAAGTGTTTCACTTCATTTTAAAAAGATGAAGAAGAAGAAGAAAAAACATAGTTGCAGATCAATCGCAATAGCAATGGTGAAACGAATAGAATTTATGAAAAAATACTGGACTGTGAGAGAAACGAACAGAGTTAAATCTCATGCCAATAAACGTAACGATAAGCCAAATTTGAAATTGTAATAAACGAATTTCGAATGCCTCAGATTATTACAACAGTATGATAATATGGAGCGCAGAGAGCCGTTACACCGTAAATTTTCTGTTCTAAGAAGCTTAAATCATTCCATGTAAATATGCGCAGTCGTCAAAATTCTTGTTAATTCTTCATTACGGCGACTGAAAGAGTGCTTGAAGTTGGATTACAGTTTGAAGATAGAGTGAAAAGTCTGTTTTTGTTCACATCGATCTATTCTGCGAAAGAACAGATTCCCAATGTGAGAGAAAGAAGCAGAAAAAGTTTTTATCGTCTGCTAAGGATGTAAGTATCAAATAATGTGTCTGCATAAAATTTACAGCAAATTTCAATTCTTGCTGCAAATTTCCACAAAGTTTTATGACTTATTTGTATTGTTCCCATTGATTTGATGCTTTTACCATTCACTGTGCTTGATCGAATTTCAATGTGACTATTGTAGCGTGTTTCGGTCGCACACAAACTTTTTTCTATTCTTTTGCAACGAACAATGAAGTACGATTTGCGAAAATTTGCGCTACACGAATTGACTATTTCTTGAATTGAGCATATATATAATAACAATGCGTAATAAAATGTATATTTTGTTATAATTGTATTTAAGCTTACTGATGCTGAACACATAAACATTTGGAATTGTTTGATTTTGTGTGTTATTTGTTAACTTATGCTTCGATGAATATTATTATTATACTCAATTCGCATACGCTAGTCGGGCGTTGAAGTGACGCCAGCGATTGACATTTTTGCATTCATATGCGAAGAATGAAGTCATCAACGGGAAAAACTATCCTAAAAATGCTAAAAGCAGATAGAAGAAGTGTCTAGTGAAGCAATATTCCAGGCGGTTATTCGTGTCAATCATTCGATTTTATTGGATTAATTTGGCGTGTACAAAAAGTTTTCTCCTCTTCTTATTCTACTCGTGAATGTCGCACATTTGAAAATAAATGTTATTGGCATTTGTTTATCTTTTGGATCAATTCTTTGCGAAATTCAAACAGGTTCGTAAATTTTGTTTGCGAAAGAAATGGACTGCAAGGGAAAAAATGACTCTCATGACAAATCTTGAGATTTTGTTTACTCTTTGAAGTGAGTTTGTATTTATTCACTCATTCACATTGATTATTGATCTTCGGCAGGCACATTGAAACGTTTATATTCCAATATTGCATCATTCAAAATGTTGTACACCTTAATGATAATATTCGGTTACGTTCATCGAACAAGTTTTCTGAACTCAAATTAAAATGTGTGTATTGCATAATAAATTTGATTCGGTACGATATGATTTATTAGAGTTCAAAGTGTGGAGAGTTGATGTTCTCCATAAATTCAATTTCGATAATCTATTGAAGAGCCGACATGTGAACAGAAGCAATATCGGCGATTCTATAAGCGATTGTACAAAACTGAATAATTAAACATTCACTTCACGTAAAACATCTACAAGTTGATGCGATGAGCAATTTGTTCGTGCATTTGCAACACGTTGCCAGAAATTCAAAGTTGTAAAGCCGCTCATTGTTTGAAAAGCAAATGCTTGCATTCATATGAAGTGCGAGCAAATACATATTCAACGGCACAAACTATCATATAATTTTTTTTTATTTTTCTTCATGATAAATGTGATGGTAAAAGAAGGACAAATTTTTTATTTCTTTTTATTTCAACAGAATATTATAATTAAAATAATGGGGGGGAGGGATTTTATTATGATGTGAGAAGCAATGGCAATAATTAGGCGGATACAAATGTATGATAATATTAATATTATCATTTTATGCAACATTATATTCCCTCATTTTTCATCTTTAATGCCACGAGTTACATTTCATTGTTACACTGACAGAGAATATTAATCAACTTGAATGAAATAATTGTTCATAGCATAAGTTTTTTTTGCACTAGTTCAGTGTGAATTTTGTTTGAAAAATAATTGCAAATGCCATCATGTATTTTAAATGAATAAACGGTGCGGACGGCCCGTTTTTTAAAATTAATACACGAAATGCACTAAATTTTTATTAAAATAAACACACGAGCTAATCTATTTGTTTATTAAAATCGATGTTCTTTCTATTTCAGTGAGCGATTCGTTATTGGCTGCAAGAGGTTTTAATACACCATCCGTTAATGCTCCATATTTACCGGTGTCATCGTTGGATTTAGTGGCGAAAAATTTTCAAGCCGCTGCTGCAGCTGCACAGTTTAGTCAAGTGAGTTCGTTTGCCCGACCGCTCTTTGTATGATAAATCTATTATTCTGTGCGAAGTTTCGACGATAAATCACCAGGTGGAAAGAGAGATAAATGACAATATCTAAATGATATACTAAAATCTTTTTAGAAGTATATTATATGACCTCCATAGGCGTGCGTGTGTGTGCTTGCATTGCAAACAGTGTGGCTTGTCCCAATAAATAATGAATTATCGATCGATTGAGTAGCACTTTGGTTTGCTTACATAGAAATAAGCCGATTGCAATCGCACACATAAATGATAAAATTGAATATTCCAGATTTCGAACGTATCCGAATATAAACAACTTGTTCAATGAAATTGAAAACAACAACGAAAAAAAAAATGTCGATATTTAATTTTTTATAATGGCGATAAGACATTCAACATTGCAATGCCATTAAAAAATGTGATAAATGCATTAACTAGCTAAAATGAGTGCATTTTAGTATCTCTATGAAAGCGCCATAATAAATGGACTTTGAAAATTCACTTTCATTTAGTATGCTAATAATGATTCGATATCACATTTAGGATAATTGTTTTTGTAGTAAAAATGAGCAGTCTTCTTCTTTTTTTTCATCGTCGAATCGTTAAAACTTGTACACACGTTTAAAGTCGATGATAATATTTTTGGTGAAAACTGGACAATTAAAATTCCCAATAACATTTTATTTCGATATAAATATTTGATTTGATGATTTTATGGGCATTGAAGTTTATCTTTTAAAGGCAAGCCAATCTGTCCATAAGTCCTCTAGACGAATTGATCTTTCGGTGAACTGTGAACAATTTGTACGTGCATGAATTGGTTGTTTCACAACGACAAAAACTAAAAATGCGAATTTCATCTAACTTTGTTTGAAAATGGTCATGCAAAAAGTCAATGCATACCAGTTTGAGTTGGTTGTAGCGGGGAGTGTGGCCAATTTAAAGTGCACTGACTACTACTAACATGCAAATTTATTGTCTGGATAAACGATGACGACTACAATTAAAGCCCAAGTGCAAGCATTCATTGCAAAGCATCGTCATTATCTTCACGATGTGCAGTGTGCACACACCGTTCACGGTTTTCTAATGGAGAACAATCAACATTGAATTACGGATTACTTAATATATTCCATGTATCGGCTTCGGTGATCATAAAACAAAAGAGAGATTATGCCTTCGCTGTTTTCCATTCTGCACTTTATTTATAATTATGTAAATGTGGCGTTTTTGTTGTTGTTCAGTAATTCGAATTTCAAGTAGACGACATATAAAATATATTATATTCAAAGCGAACCCAAAATACAATCTTAGAGAATAATGAAAGGCCACTTTGCATCACACTATCAATTTCAATTTTTTTTAATGAGTAAGATCAGTTTGCTTCGATGCCTGCATTAAATTTTCAATTTTAATGGAAATAGTTAACGAACTGCAACTTCAGAGCTAGTCGTCACCTACAGCTTTCTTTTATTGCAATTTACATATTTCTAGTAAATTTATTAAATTCAATTTTAATTGAATATTCATTCAGAATTTTCTTAATTTCCATAAAGTAAATCCCATAAATTGTGTGATGAAAATTCGCTTTTGTTTTATGCACTTCAATTGTTGATTCTCAACTGTTATTTTGTTGATTCTCTGATTTTATACGATGATTACCAACCATTCGCACCATGTGTCGAAGCGAGAGAGGATGTGCCTAGGGGATAACCATGAATTGCAGATCGAATAATTTATAATAATAAACGCTATTTCTCTATATTTTTCACTAATTCTGCTAGTATTTCTACTAGTTTGTTCTAATACTGCTAGTTTTTGCTAATTTTTCTAGTACGTCAAAAATATTGCATACGTCAGATTGACTGCATGATCGGATAACCGAAATGTGTTTACGTAAATGTTTCAAGTTGACACTTTCAACGTGTATATTTGAAGCAGGCATGTAATCTATTTATATTTATTGAAGTTTCAGTCCTTTGAATATTGAAATTATTATCTACATTACAACATCAGTGCTATCAAATCAAGTTTCGGGCTGTATATATTTTATTAAAATAATTTTTAAGTGTTTTTTTCTCTTGATTACACTCCACTTGCTTTGTGCTTCCAAGCCTGCTTCATTCATTTTATATTTTTCAATTGAATTAAAATTATTTAAATTCAAAATTGATTGATAAAATACTAAAACAGAAAAATTGAATATCGTGTGAGTGAGAATTATTGTTTGTCAAGTTTTACGTTTACAGAGACGTATACGTTTTCAGTAAGAAATCTGTCATCAAATCTACATTTCCGATTGCAATTCGTAAATTGTAGTTAATACAGATGGAACGTGCTTGGTTAAGTGCCATTGAATATATTTTTATTTAAAAATGGGAAAAAGCGTATTTAACTACATATTTTGATACATTTTAGTTCAACACTATTCAATTCGTTTGTTTTGTGAATTTTATTTTAATTAATTATTGCAATATTTTCAAGAATAAATTCTTACTAAAGTATATACGTGTACAGTGCTAATTCTGCTATTTATTGCTAATTTCTCTATTTTCTTCATGTAAATTTCCCTATTTTTTTGCTAATGTGCTAATTCTAATTCGCATGGATATCCCCTAGGGATGTGCACTATAAATGGTCACCACAAGTCAAAAAATCTTCGTTCGGTATTTTTATTGAAAGTTTACAGTTAATTGTGATAATCTTTGGAGACATTTTGAAAACTGTTACGTTTGTTCAAATGAGTTTACACTCTCCAGCAGTGATATAAAGTGGTCTAGACAAGTTCATTTGCACATTTAATTTCAACAAAAAGAAATGGCGAGAACGAAACAAACAAAATTGAATGCTAAAAAGCAACCTGCACCGTAAACTGGATGGTTTCGGTATTCTCTTTTTTTTTCGTTGAATATTTTAAATTGGCAGTGTACATAGAGAGCCCGTGGGCTTACCGTGTGTATAAAATTTTATGATTATTATTGTGCATATGCTTGCATTCGCACATTGCTCTAGTGAATGTGTTCTAGTCATTTGTAAATGAAGCACGTTTCAACGTTAACAAATTTACCTTCCACAACATCTTCTTCTTCTTCTTCGTTGCAAATTCTTTTTTATTTCACACACCATACGGCAATTCAAACAAGTGACGTTCAATGCATATAATTTTTTTTGTAGTTGAAACATTCAAGCGATGGCATGGATTTAGCTAGATGTGCACAGCACTTTTATGAGACTCACATGCATTGTACAAGCAGTTTTTTCTGCGCGAGAGATTTCTTGAATTTGTGAAAGTAGCGCCTGTCAGAAAAAAAAGCTATTGTTTCAATGAATATATTGTTGAATTTTTGTTGATAAAATTGAGCGGTTTTGATTGCTAATCTGATATCGATGTAATAACAATAAAAACTCGCTTTACACTATAATGATTTTTTCCATTCGTTCCCGTTTCAATATATTCATAAAAACGAACTGTTCATTTTTTTCTCTGTTTTGGCTTTTAAAAAAAACCACCAGGCAAAGAGTCTTTTTCTGCAATCACAAACGGATCTTTTTGGCAGTACTATATCGACAACAAAAAAAAGTGAAACATGTTTCGGCCGATGGCAAACGACCCATCAACAACAGCACGTATTCGAACCACTTCATATACAAGTAAGTTTTTAAATAAAATACTATTCAATGCATATATTCTAGCTCCATTACCCACGATTGCTAAACTTTGATTTCATATATGGAAATCGGTTATAATCCATAAGTTATATGCTCTTTACTACTTTCAATGAGCTCATACACTTTTTACTCTTTTCCTCTCTCTTGATGAAAATGGCAAATTTGTTTGTTTGATTTTTGTGTTTTCGTCTGCACTTTTTCTGAATACAGGTTCCACCAATTACAACGGCCAATAGTATTACAATAAAAAGTGAGAACATTAGTTCAGGTAGTTCAGTGTCATCGCAACATCTGCAAAAAACTAGCACTGATAGCAGAACAAATAATCAAATTGATGGATTTAGTTCTCCATATTATTCGCCACCGAAATCGACCACAACAAAAACAACAGTCTCCACTTCACCAAGCTCGCGACTCTCCAATGGTAAACACACATATATGCACAATTTTTTTTCGTCTTCTCGTATTTTGACTTTGAAGCAATTCCTCTATGTTTTTCAACAATAAACGAAAACAACTTTTTTTTGTTTGGATATAGGTGGAACGCCATTGCCAATAACACATACTACACATACAGCTACGTCGGTCGCCAGCACATCATCTCATACCAAAACAACAAACACCATCCATTCGTTGCACGATATCACTTCTGGTTGTAGTCGAACCATCCCGATTACGTGGAATAACTCATCACTTTTACAGGTTTGTGTGTTTTCAATTTTTTTTTGCACTCGTGAACAAATTCATTGAAATTTTTATGAAATCTTTTTATCAATGTCTGCATGAGCTTAGTTTTAATATCGTTTTACCATCTCTTTGTGTGTTTTTTTGGACGTTCGCAGATAAAACGTGAACCGTGTCAAGTGTCTGAAGTGACGACATCAAATAATTTTCCGTCAACGGCAACAGTTCAATTACAAGAGCAACAAAGAAAAACGATAGCCACAGATCAAGCAATTGTCAAAAAAGAAATAAAATCACCGACTGAAACGTCTTCGTCAACAATATCGCTATCGACCACCGCATCAAATATGGAACATACCAACAATAATTCAGTTCAATCGGGTTAGTTTTACGCTTCTTGTTATGTATTCGGCAACATTTCTTTGGTTCATATTGGAAATGAAAAGGAACAGAAAAAAAAAACAGATTAAATTCGTTTACAAAAGTCATAAAAACAGTTACACGTAGCTGACACTTGTTTTATACGTTTTTCCTGATTTATCTTGATTCTCTTTTCAAAAGGTGCAATTCCGGTTGGAATAGCTGTGGCACGTCAGCGCCTCCAAGAGCACGCTCAACAACAACAGCAACATCAAACGAAAGACATCAATCGATTCGGCAATATAGGCATTGCCACTGATTTGGGTAAGCTTTTGTTCTTTTCTCATCAACGAAAGAAAACCGATAGTAATAACTGATAAAAAATCACGACTCCTTTGATAAAAACACTGGAAATAAATCAGATTGGAAGCACATAGTAGTTTCAAAATACAATTTAATTTAGAATTTCTCATTAATTCGGATGTACATTTTTGGTTTCGTCTCTCACAAAAATTCTACCAATTTTTTTTTTACACAACTATGTTTTTCAATTGAAAAGTTTTTGTTCGCATAGAACATAATAGCCTCTTCAGGTTTCTTCCATTTAATGCATGGTCAAGCGCAAATTTCATTCTACTTAATCTCATATATGTAATAATTAGTTTTTGTAAAATGAACGTGATTATTGCCTTAAAAATGACAAATAAAAAGAAAAAAAAAACGAAAAAAAAACTGACCTCACCATTGTTTTTGTGTGTCCACCATATGTGGAAAACATAACACTTATATACTAATCAAAATCTTTTGTACAAAACAAAGTGAGTCGGATTATATTTGCTCCGTGTATGGTACTACCTAATTATTAAAATCCCAAAAAAACCAGCAGCTGTAACTCAATCTAAATGGGAATTTTGTTTACGTTTCAAATTGTCCTGATGCTCTTGCCACATTCATTTGGCATTTGTGGCTTGGGTCATCTTCTCAGTTGTTTTTTTTCCTTTTTCGTGTGCTATAGCACTAGAAAATATATTTTCGAAATAACTTTTTGCCAAAATACAAAGAAATAGGAGATATTCAAATAATAGCTGGCGCATTTAATTCATAACATCCTACTCAGAAACGATATAACCGCTGTATGTGTACTTTTGTAAGCAGCATTTCAAAAGAATCCACCTATGTACAGCAGACATATTATCAGCATTCAGTGCATATAATGTGTAAACATTACTTATCACATTCAGCTATACTTTGTGTGGTGTCCAAAAAATCATCATCAAAAAAGGTTTTATCATTATCGTTGTTGTTGCTTTTTTGTTGCTCCTTTCTTTGCTTTGTATTCGTCATGTGCGTTACAACAGGAATATAGTCAGTATGAGCATGTGTATGCATTTTTAATGCTTTCGGTTTATACCTCATACCATTATGAGCAATGGATAAACTTGTTTTTCATTCCTTTTTTTACTGAATCGTTTGAGCCTTTTTTTTGATGGAATATTTTCTCTCTTTTTCGCCTTCTCCTTTTTGAGCATCGCTCTGGAAAATAAATGTTCCTGAAAAATATTCAACTCTCTATGCTGTGTTTTCGCATGTTTTGGCTTGTGTTCACTGTTCACACTCAACGCACACACATACACATATAGGCCCGATTGAAACAGTTATATAATGATGAACAAATAAAATTATACTGTATGGTAATCAGTTGTTAATAAAAAACATTTGGAATGAGAGAAATAAAGAAGAAGAAAGATGGAAAGAGAAAGAAAGATGGAGAGAGAGAGACCCAAATTATAAATCTAAAGTCGCGAACTCGCTACAATTACACTATAAAGAAAACAGGATTTAAGTTTCAATTAGAGTAAAGTCATATTTCAGTAAGTGAGTGGCAAAAGTTCTGAGCTTCTGAGATTGTTTCGTTATCAAAAGGCAAATGCGAAGTAGCCTTCTACATTTTCGAAAACCAGGCTAATGATTAAATTTGATACTTAACACTATAACTGCATACCGTCATCACCGTCAATGATGATTATGTTGATGCTAACGACGACGACGACGATGATGACGACGACGTGTTCATCTCTTTTTTTTCGTGCATGTGTATGACGGTTTGCGATAAGCACGTATGGCGGAAGGAATAACGAAACCGCAGATAATAACGACCTCATACACATGGTACATAATACTATACACATTCACTTCAAACACATTTCGTACACACACAAACTCAAAAGTTAATACACCATAATCGCTTTCGTAAATATTTACGTTATAAGGTGTTACACATTGCTCCGTAATTTTATTTTGTCTCAATTTTATTATTTTCCACTTTTATTAGGGATTTTAAATTCGCTCGTTACGAACGAAAAACACGCTACTTTGTTGGAACGAATAATAAAATGTCGAAGCTCATAATTTATCGAAATGTTGCTAGTCTATTTAAAACATCGACATTCAAATTCAATTGCAGCGATTCGATTTTGAAATTGATTGATTCAAATAATGCTGTGACATATGCGCATTGCCATCGAATTTAAATGCGAAAGAAGTGTCCAATTTGTGATGTGCTCGAAATGCATTTACACTGCATAAATTCACGTTCGTCATGAAAGAATGATAAATGCTAAATTTAGTGCTCATTCCATTTCGTTTTCGTAATTATCACTCTTCTTACATGTTCATTTCATTGAGTTCGCGTGCCAAATACATCCTATGCTTTCCATCTAATCTTAATTTTACAGGCGTACGTCCTCATAAATTGCAAAGCAAATGTGCAGAGCCAAATAAAAAAAAATCAAAGTCATTTTTCTTGTTTAGACTTCTTTTCAATACGATTTATTGGCAGCATACTTTTATCTCTCGTTCTTTTATGTATGTGTAATTCTTTTCTCTTGCTCATTCGGACCGATACTTCGCGAGTGTGTGTGTGTTATGTATGCTCGTTAGTTGATTGATTACATTTTCTATTTTTGAGTCATTTGCTGCCAATTTCAGGCTCTCCTCTGTAGCCATGTTGTGCGCAGCAGTTTTATCACATTGAAAATCTTAAACTTTTTTCACGACGTTTTTTTTCGCTCGCTTTTGCCTTGAAATGCATTAGATACATTTTCAAAATTGCCATTGCTTCGTTTGCTATGCTCATTGTTGTCGTGATATTGTGTTCACAAAAGATTAATTGCAATTTAAAAACGCAATAGCGTGCATTGCCACACTTTCCCTTCGGAAAATACCGGTTTTTTTTCATTCTCTATCTCTCTTCCGAAAAAAAAAAAAACAATAAATAAATCGAATGAATTGGTAATTTTTGATAGTACCACGCCTGAAATGTACAAAATTCCAATGAAGGCGAGTAACCATGACTAAATAATGATCTACGAATTATTGCATTACCGTGATGTGAGACACTTCGAACTCATTCAGACGCCGTAATCAATTCATTTGCACATAACTATACAAAAAAAAAAAGTAGAACAATTAATTAATAATGCATTTTTAATAAACACTTTTTATGCGCTTGTAATACATTGATGCGTTTCTGGATTATCTACAATATTTAGATGCAATTTTTCATTGTACAATTATATTCCATCCATTTATTCATATCGCATGTCTGTTCATTATTTGCACAACGGGATTTGAATAAGAATATGGTTAACCGTCGTTTGGATTTCATGTATCAAACTGGGTGATATTCTTATGCCAAATATCAAATACTAATTAAATGCTTCGTGCCTGATGAATATGGATGTAGCACTTTCTATCTCGCTCATTCGCGCGCGCATAGTTCAAACAAATATGGATATGTAGAATAAATTTCATGTTGTTATTGAGAACAACAGCCTACAAACTTCCCGGCCATATGAATAAATATTAAATAATAATATGAGGAAAAACAAGCAAATAAATTAGCTTCAATTAAATATTTACTGATAATGGCGTTTTTACGTCGTTCATTAACGTTTCCACACTTTTGAGCTTTGAAGAAAAAAAATGAGCGCTTTACTTTTTCAATGGAATTTTAAGATTTATTGTCGGCACTGCCGAATGTCACCGACATTCATGGACTGACATTTGGAAAAGGTTTGAATTTTTATAAAAGTGCGGTTGAATGTGTTCTATTTTAACACTCGAATAGATTTATCAATATTTGAAATAAATGAATCGTGACACAAGTCAAATGTCGCATACATTTTCAACGTAATAATTAAAAATTCTACTAAACGTAGCCGCTTTCCAAATTAACTATCATCGACTAGTCGATATATAGTATTTAAATTGAGAATCGAAAAAACGTCGAAAGGTTTCTACGAAATGCAGTGGAAAACATTCTCATTCTGGGCATTGACTGACAATAAATGACATTTTGCATGTTACTGTCTCTAACTTGACGAGATTTTTTTAACCCCCGGTTTGAATTTAAAAGCGTTCATTATTGTGATCGACCGCGGCTAAGTGTGTTGATATTAAGCTTAAGTAGATGTGGCAGAATTCATTTATCCATATCATTTAGTTATTACTATGAAATGAAAAATTCAAACCAAAATATCCAAATGCTTAAATATTAAACATTGCATGCTTTATCTATTTTGATGTAATGCCAAATTTTTCGTAAATTTTTGAATTATAAAAAAACCATGCAGCTTGCCATATACCATTTGATTCGTATTTTGTATACAATTCTGTAGATAAATTTGATATATGCAAACTTTGTACATACATAGATTGAATTATGAATAGTTAATGAAGAGGCAAAAATGTCGAAAAAAGCACTATTACAAATCCGACATAACATGGCTAAATGAGCACAAAGCGAAAAGGGAAAGTGGAAAATGTACATCGAATAATTTGAAAAATTAAATCACTCGTTGCAAAATTATTATGATTTCTGGTCGATTTGAACATAAAGTGTTTTAATTTTAATTGGCGTTTCATTTATTAAGCATCACAGCTACTTGTTACCTTTCAATAATTTCTTTTTTTGTTATTTTTTTTCGTTCTTTTTCTTTTTATGATTTTTAAACATTTTTGTTGTTTCGGTGCCGTTACGAAAAATCGAATGTCGACTAATCGTCATAAAACCACCTAACGGCGAAATAAAAAAAAAAACAACAAACAAAAACCTGCTGATAAATTTCGGGGCATTGGAAAATTTAACCGGAACATTAACGATGGAAATGCAATTAAAAACCATTTCCAATTTAAATGGGATGTGATGGTGATGTTGGTGTTTATGTGCTTTAACACGCACTCGGTGCAACAATTTCAAATGAAAACGTGTAATTATCTTTAATCGAATTTTCGATCCAAATGAAACACACACACACACATATACTCACGCTAACGCAATTTGTGTGTACGATTCACGTTACCTTACGTTGGCTTTTGCGCATGAACGCTCGACTAAACAATAACATCGACCACAATACATACACTCAAAAATCACCTCCGATCGTGCATCTTCCACATGTGCCAATTGTACACATTGCCGCACATATTTTGTTTGTTTCGTTGCTAAATTTTTATATGTTTGTGGTCACTTTCGGTCAAAATCACAAACACACTCTTGCATCCAAAAAAAAAACCGGCTCATAATTAACAATCGCCAAATAAATGCAAACAACAATCAAATAAAAGGAGGCGCAACATCAGCATTTACTCAACAAAACATGTTTTACACAGGTACAAATTCAACCATGATTCCCTTTTCTTCAGATGTTGCAACCGCTGCTGCCGTTTCTATGGGTGTATCGAATGTACAAAACACGGTCAGAACTCCGCCTACGTTATGGCAATATCCAGGTACGTTTATTACAAAAAAAAAACATATTTATAAATCTTTTTTTAATAACTTGAAATATGATTCAAGTAGATAATCTCCTTATTGGATGATTGCTAATTGCTGTGCAGTTTTATATGATCAAAAGTCTCAAGGACGAATCATAAATGAACATATCGAATGTTCTTCTCGTCTAATCGCATTGTATACATTTGTTTTGCATGCATTCATCATCACATTTCAATCCCACATTGTGACTGTATCAATTGATTCGGTTTTGATTGTAGCCTATTTATAGATCAAAATCCATGTGTATTTGAAATAACAGTGCATGTATTTATGAAATCATATTTGAGACATCTTTAGTACATTTTAAAAGCTAGAATGAGAGAATTATTATTTTAATAGCGACATTTCACTAATAAGTGAATCAAACAAAGACGTTTATTATTAGAACATTTCAATTCGGCATAAATATGAAGTGATTTAGTATGTGTATGAAAACAATGTGTTAGAAATAAATTGATTGAAACAAATCTCGAGTGATTATTAGTTTGAAGAAGAATAAAAACTTGCTCATTTCAGAAGCATGTTCATTAGCTTTATAATCAAAATGAAGCCATTAATGCCGTCATTGTTTCCCGTTTCACTTGAAATATTCCGAGGGAAATGCATAAATTGAGTATTTTTTTCACTCTTACTTTCATCATACCATTGCTATAAGAACGAAATATGCGAATGACAAACGGAAAATAAACACTAAAACTTTATAAATTATTTACACAAATACAGCACCCAGTAAATTATACGAATGAGATATACTATGCTAATGCATATACTTTTAAGTACTTTCCGAAATGTGTATATGACGATATGTAAAAGATAGCATCATGTGACACGCCGACAAAGTGCACTAACTTTTGGTTGCTCAGTTATCGGTCATAATGAACAAAGTTCATCTTCGCTCTCTCTCGCACTCTCTATCTCGATTGGCACGGATCATAAAACTTTTATTATCATCATTAAAATATGCCTATAAAATGTGCCGTACCAAAAATAACTGTATGACTCAACAAAACCGTTTTAAATTCATTTTAATTAGAAATAATCATTTTTTTTTCTTTATTTCTCTTTTAATATTGTTATTGTATACGTGTGTATTAATTCATTTGAGTAAACTCAATATTAATCACTTATATTATATGACCACAAAAATTGAATATATGCTCAAAACGCAAAGGATTAGCTTCGTCTTTTGAAGAATAACACTTAATAATAATTTTTTTTGACGCATGCAATACACATAACACACATTGAATGTTGAACGAAAAGTTGATTGCAATGAAATACTACACATAAATCAGCAAATGTGAATAAATTTACGATTCAACTATAAAATACACGAAATAAAAATAAAACCAATGCGTGTAGCATACACAGCATGAGGAGAAAACGCGTAAGGGGCGGGAACATGGTAATAGAGAACACTCCTATATTCCGCCTATGTCTGTAGCGGCCAATGGACGTGCAGTTGAGCTCAAAACCACCAATCGGAGATGGAATTCATACAAACGCTCCAAAATTGTTCAAATGCACATTTGAAAATTCTTTTTTTCACGTTAAAAAGTGGTCGATTTTGAAAAATTTGTGAAATTATTGATACAAATTAAGCTAAATATGTACCATAAATATTTAGTATATTATAAACTAAATTTGATATTGACAATTATTTGATTTGAAATCATTGTTTAATGAACATTGTATTTTTTGAGTTGATTCGGATATTGTTGAAAAGTTTTCGTAAAAGTTTTCAATTTTCATATTTTTGAAGAACACAATGTTCAAATTAAAACTTACATTCAAAACGAAATAGAATTTAGATTCTTCAAAATATAGCCACTTTCTTCAAAATATAGCTAAAATTTCCTTTGTTTTGATTCAACGAAACGACAGTGATTCTATACAAATGTATAAATAAATGAAACTTTTGCCATGAATTATTATTAAAATCATCGTTTTAGGGGCTGATATAAAGTAGAAATGTAAATAACATACAAATAGACGAGGGCGATGAAAATTGTGAACGGCAAACGGCAAAAGAATTATGGAATATTGGAACAAATGTGCACGATAGAGAGTGGCACATTTTTTGATAATGAATCGATGGCGAGAAGGGATTTCTCCCTTCGTAAAATTTGTTATAGTGTATAACTGTGCTTTATACTTGATTGCAATCACTAAATGCGATGAGTTCACCCCATTTGAGTTTGTACTGGCGTGGGTTGAATTTGTTGCACGCACTATCAATTCTATACATTTCGTAAACGTTCTACGCGCATTTTGCATTCATTCTCTCTTCGGTAATTTAATATTCTCCTTGTGTTCAATACTTCAAAAAACGACAATAGACTGCAAAATGATGAGTCGCTATTTTTACTTCTCTCTTTCTCGTACACATTCTTTACAAGAATCTAATCATATACGTTAATGTTGTGATCTATCAATCTTGATGCCACTTGGCCAATTTTACTAAAATTGCTGTCATTGTGATAGGGAACGACGTTTAAATGTAATACCATTAAAATCTCATCTTAAAAAGTAATTTTAATTTTGGGAGGAGGTTGAAAAGTTTCAGAATTGGAACTATTTTAAAGCGTTTAATTTTTAGAGTCTGTTGACGCAATTAATGTAATGCAATTTTCTATGGAATTTTAGCTCCGGTGCCGGTGGAATCAATGCTGCCACATGTGCCATTTCAACTGCTTCGTGATCCAAACAGTGGACAATTTCTATTTTTCCCAACAGCAGCGACATCGATAGGTATGTTTATTTTCTATAATCGAAAACCAATTAATCTTATCTATAATAACAAATAGAAGAAAATCAGTAAACTTATAACGATTAAACACCTCTTTTTTTACTTTATGTTCAATTTTCTACGAGTAATTAATAATTAACTTTACATTTAAAATGCTTTAATTGGTTTTTGGTTATTTTGACACGAACACTTTAAAAATGGATATAAAATTAATCACATTTATTTTATTTTTTTTTGTTTCTTTTTTTTTATTTTCCGATACTTGGCTGCGGTTTAAAATCCAAATTGAAACTATTCCAAAATTCTCACACATTTAATTGGCTTGATACATAATACACGAAACACAAACACACACATACAAACACACCTAAAACACGCAAATGCTTCATCCTTTGTCCAATTTTATTTACACAATCACAACAATGCATTGGCTTTTAATTTTGAATTGGCTAAATGTTTGTTTTTCTTCTACTTCTTCGGCAAAATGTTGTGGTGGTCTTTTAATGGGACTAGATAAACTTCTTATATCTTATCCATCAGAACCGTTTCAACAAGCCGTTGTGTGGCCCACCACATATACTCAGCCACAAACAACAATTCAGTCGACCCCACATTTGATAATGCCACCAATTACGGCCGCACCATCAATACAACAACCACCACCATTGGCTCCGCTACTATTTAGCGCATCCGATTATCTATCGGCCGGTACAACATTGCATCAGGTATATTATTCGCTCTAAAATGCATTAATGTGATATTCTTACATGGTAAATGAAATTATATTAAATTTTACTGTACCATTTAGCATACACAAACACACAGCACTCGATTAGTAGCAGTGGCATCGAACGATAATACGAATAAGCGTAAATCGAGTCATAATCCAACAATTCCAATGCCAATACAGCCTGCACCGACATTGATTAAAATTGAAGATTCGATGCATTCGGGTGTTCCAACATTGGCTCCGTTTGAACAAAAATCGGCACCGATACAAACGGCAACGATAACAGCCACTCAAACAAATGATGTTACTCCAGAGATTGCAACACAACTGGGCAATTATTATCAAGCGCATGGTTTACATGGAAACTTAATTCAACTTACACCGCACAACACTTCAGTTGGTGCAACGCAAACGCTTCCAAACAATGGAAGTAATCCAACGATTCCGGCAGCCATACCATTACTAAACACATTGGACTGCAGAACATTACAGTCACAACCGATGCCACATATTTTAACGCCACCAGATGTAACCATCTCGACAATGTCTTGTTTAACACCAATTTCAGAAACGTATTCAAGATGCGATGACAATTTGGATTCATCGGGAGTCAGCAGTTTACCCGAAGGTTTGTTTTGCAGATGAAAATAAAATAATAAAATGTTAATTGGTTTCTTTCATTTGATAAACAGTTCAAGATGCAACAATGCAAACGGATACACCAGTAATGAGTGAAGATGACAATACAAACGGTGCCGATGATTCAGCGTATGCATCGAATATTATAGTGAATTCAAATTCAATGACCGACGATATGAGTGTGGCTGTACCAACATCAACATCATGTGCCGATCTGTGCCATAGCATGACAAATAACATTTCAGATAGTTCATCGATTCATTCACCACCACAAAATACTTCGCCGCAAAGTACAAGCTGCACAAGCGATTTGATACATAGCTCAACCAGCGGCATGAGTTTAAGTTGTACCATCTCTGGGGATAGTAATAAATCGACTGAATGTAGTTTTGAAATGGCTGTATCATCCACAAATATGATCGAAGATGAACGATCTTTTAATCAACAAACGCCAGAAAGTGATGTGGTTACGTCATTATCAAATGTTCGTCCAGAAACGCCACAACCGACCGATTTGTCAATCAATTCAAGTGCTACATTTGCAACGTCACCCATTCAACAAGAGAAATCGACTCCGACCAAGTCAATGGGTCCCGATATCAGTGGTTTGGAATTGCTATCAAATAGCATTGAAGCATTCGAAAAGCGACCATTCATCAAACAAGAACCAATAGATCGTTCACAAATTTCGCCAAATGTGTATGAACCACCATCGTACAGTCCACCGCGTTCAAATGCAATCGAAGAGACACGACGTGCCAGCATTGAACAATATGAAAACCGGCCACCAATAATATACGAAGAGCATATTGCATCATCTCAAACGCCACAGCATAAAACCACCTATGTTCCAGCCAACGATCAATTGGGCGGTTTGAATTTGTTGTGCGCATTGGCCGAACAACATTTTCAAGAAGAAGTGGTTAGCAACGAACATCGATTGGAGCGCAAGCGATCATCTTCGTCGGACGGTTCGGAACCGAAACGTAGTAAAAAACATAAAGAAAAACATGCCATTAAAAAGGCAAAGAAGAAGGAACGCAAGGAAAAGAAACGAAATAGTAGTGACGGTTCAAATGGAATCTCATCAACGGAAGATGCCGTCGAAAAAGATTTTCGAGAAACATTTGATCGTATCAAGGAAAAGTACATGAAATGTGATTGTCGAAAGAGTTTGTTGAATGAACCATGTTGTTGTAAAATGAAATTTCCGACACCCGAAGAGGTGTATGGCGCAATGAAATCCGAAATGAGACATCAATTGGCCGAAATTAAGCGAAAAGTAAAAGAAGAAGAACGAAAATTGGATGCAATCAACAGTAAAGATCGATTCCAACGTGAATCGACGCCATCATCATCAAAAAGTTCGAGTTCATCGTCAAAATTGTCCTTCACCTCGATGCCAACATTTTCACCATCGATTCTATCGTCATCCACGTCCATTGAATGCAATCAAAGTAATGTCGTTGAATTTCCATCAAATGGAAAAATTTACAGTGACACCGAGTCTTGTTCGTCAACATCGTCGAAACGTAAATTACCTATCGTATGTAATCCAATCGAATACCAAGCAAAAAAGAGCAAAAGTCTAGTTGGCTACATTTTTGAATCGAAAAAACGAATAAATGACAGTAAATTTGAAAGTAGCCCATCGGCCACCGATGATGGCAGCATTAATTCAGATATGTCGGCCAGTTTGAAACGGAATGCGGCAAAAATTAAACAAGAAATATATGATTTTGATGATTTGGGCCCGCATCCAGAAGTAAAACTATTTGGAAGTTTCTCCGATGAAAATCGCAATAAGAATCATTTGAGCAGTGCAATCAGTGAGGGTACAGTTAAATTGAAGCCATCCGCACTGTCAAAACATAATAAAAAAATTAAAATTGGCAAAGAACGAAAGCACCATCAACGAAGAGTATCAGAACATAAGCATCGGTGCTTGGTAACCGACGAGACTTTGGATGGTTTGACTGATGGTAAAAAGCAACGGGTACTTACTGCTATGGGTGGACTCTTTTATGCTGGCTACTTGACAGCAATTCGTCCGCCAGATCTATATGGTGTTACTTTGGATGGTGAACGTGGCAACAAGGCGCATATTATGTCACGTGAAGATATATTAAGAGATGCGGTAATTCGAATTAAAATACTTTACCGAATTCAAAATTCTAATGACTTCCTATTTTCACATAGATTATCGAAATGGCACCGACATCGGCGGCAGAAGTGCCACCCGGCACACGATTGTGTGCATACTGGAGTCAACAGTATCGCTGCCTTTATCCAGGAACAGTGGCTATTTCATCGTCACCCGAATATGAACCGGATCCAAAGTTTGCTGTCGTTGAATTTGATGATGGAGACAGTGGTCGCATCGCGATCGAGGATATTCGCTTTTTGACTAATGATTATCCTGTTGTTGGTAAGAGAAAAGAAAACAACTTCAGATTTGGCTATCTTCTCTTTTGTTCGAAAAAAAAAACAAACTCTTTCTTTAGTTGACTTGATTAATTATGTATAAGAAATGATTTAAGTAGATTAAGTTCTTCGGTTTTTTCCTTTGGATTTGTTTCAATTTGCATTTGTTTGTTTGTTTGTTTTTTTTTCTTTTCGTTTGTTTTCTTTTCCGTTCTATTGCCTTTTCTACATACAACATTCAAATGCGTAGAATACGACCCAAATCCATTACAATCGTTAGGAAAACGTAATAAGCCAAAAGCAAATGTCGAACTTACAGACCCAAATCAACCGTCAACGAGTGCGAATGTCTTCAGTTTGTGTCATGAATCCAATGAACATCCCCAAACGCGAGAGGAAAAAGAAGCATACAAGTGAGTAATTTCAATGCAAATATTTTTTCCGCTAGCGAAAGAAAAGTAAATTAATCAATTGTATTTACGCGTAGGGAACGTCGACGGCTTAAAAAATTGCGAAAAGATAAACTTCGACAATTGTCATCGACCGATGATCCAAATGCAAAACATAAGCACAAACATAAGCATAAGTGCGGCGATGAATTGTGCAAACATCGCAAACATAAAAAGCGAAGAAAGCACAAGAAACATCATCATCGCGAATTGAATGCGATGACCAATTTCAAAGAATCATTGATCGAAGAAAAATCAATCGAAGACGATGAGCAATGTGATGTGGACAGTGGTGATTCACACGAAATTCCAAAGGTAATTGAAAAATCGGGAGAACCGAAAAATATCCAAGTGGCCAAAAGTACACTAACCAAATCGGTTAATATCAAACTCAACAAAATCGAGTGGCCACTCGACGAGGACGTCGTATCGTCACTCACTGAAGATAGCTCCGGATCAAGCTACGTATGTATTTTATGAAGATTTTTACATTAACTGGATATTGTTTGACATGTTCGATTTAAATTACAGAATCCTGGCAAAGGAAAAAGCACATCAAACGAAAAGCATAGTAAAATTGCTGCATTTTTACCGGCCCGTCAATTGTGGGCATGGTCGGGCAAAGGATATAAACGAACCACAGGAAAGGGTGCACGCAATAAAAAAGTCTTTTATAAATCAATTCAACGTGGCAAAGAAACAATTTCGGTGCGTATGATAAATTTCAATTTAAATTTTACAATTCAATACAATAATATTCTGTGGTGATATTATTCATCAGGTTGGCGATAGTGCTGTATTCCTATCGACTGGACGGCCAGATAGGCCATATATTGGACAAATTGAATCCCTATGGGAGACGAATTCAAACAATCGGGTGGTAAAGGTCAAATGGTACTATCATCCCGAAGAGACAACCGGCGCTCCAGATCTTCTTTATCCCGTAAATAGCATTGCATTTAAACTAAATATGTTCGCAATAAATCGGCAAATATGACATAAAACTTTTGATCATTTTCAGGGTGCTTTATTTGAATCTCCGCATGAAGATGAGAATGACGTTCAAACCATATCACATAAATGCAAAGTATTACCATTGAATGCGTATACAAAGAAATACGGGCCAGATCCAAAGCAATATACATCAGTCTATGACAATAATGATACATTTTATTTAGCTGGCTATTATGATCCGACCATTTTGCAATTGAAAATGGAAAAAAATATACCGACAACGGCAACAAACTCCAAATCATCAACCAATGATCAAGAAAATGATGAGAATGATATCGATGAGAGTGTTACAAATACATCGAACGACGGTTAAATGCAATAAACTACTAAAACACTATTGTGTTGTGATGAACAGAACTTTTTAGTGTTTGTGAACAATTTACGTTTTTTTTTTTCAACTTCTCTCGTAGTGAAATAGACACTTTGACTTTCTAAATGTGCAATGATTTATTGAAAAGAGACATTTGAAAGATGAAGAAAAAGAATAATTGATGAAGTGCTACCAATAATGATCACTGCGATGATGTGTGATAACAATTTGTGATTATAAATTGTGACGTGTGCCAATTCGTGTCATAAATTCATTTGTTTTTGCGATAAACATTTTATTGAAAACCATTCTGGTGGATCATAAATTGGTGTAGCATTGATTGAAACTTGCAATTTATTGGAGATGCAGTGAAATGATTCAAGAAGAAGTGATTCAAGTTGATAATGATGTGCAATTGAATTCCTTTCATTATTAAACAAAAAAAGACAATTATTGAAAACACATCATATCTTCTATCTAATTTTATGCGAACAATGGACAGAACAAATTCGAAGTGAAGTGCAATAGTTTTGTAACAATATAATTGTTAATTTTAATTCTATATGGAATTTTCCATTTTCTGAAGAAGAAAAAAATTATGAAGAGCGGACGGCGGAGACACGAATATGAATGAAATGTAAATAGTAAAGCGAACAAAATGTTTGGAACTTAAATTAATGTAAAGTCATCTAACACACCATGGATGGATGTGCAACATATGGACAGAATATGATATAGATTATGTGCTTATTTTCAAATCATACTAACAATTTATTCAAATAAACTCTATTCAAATATCTATTGCATTCTATTTTTTTAAAAAAATAAATGATAAACAATACACACACAAAAAAAAATCCTAATTTTGACTAATACATTTAATTGTTGTGAACGAGATTGTCTAATTATATATATGTCTTGTGAATAATATTATTTAGATTAAGCAAAAGATAAAAAGAACAAATAAACAAAATCTCTAGTAGTTGTAGCCGATACAGGCAAATTAAATGCATTAAAAAGAATTATTGAAACGCTATATATGTTAGGCCTAAGTGAATATTTACTGAATTCAATAAAAAAAACATGATAAATTAACTGAAATCAATCAAAATTAACATTTTGTTTAGAAATTAAGTAAAAAACCATAGTCCTCCTATATATTATAATAAATTACTAATTAGAATAAACAAATAATGACAACAGCAACAAATGAAATCGAAACGATAGAGTTTTCAATGCAGGAAATGGTAGTGGTATTTAAACAACAATAAAAAGTCAATTATAAAATTGTAGCAATCAATATATTCCATGGAACAAAAATTTGTATGCAAATTTGAATTTTGAATCGAACAAAACAAAAGAACTTTTTGGATCAAAGGAATACTATTTTGATATTGTTTTTTTAAGAGTGAATAAAAGATACACAAACATTTTGGCTACTATTTTGACCATTTAAAGAAAAAAAAAACAGAAATTTTGGATATCATAGAAGTTTTTTCAGCATCGGACGATTTGAATGCGATTGAAATTGCTCGAAATTTTCATAGTATACGAATATTACGGCTGAACACATGCGAAACATGAGACGGATTTATTATTATCGTAAAATCATTCTGAAGTAAACAAAAAATTTTTTTGTATTGACAAAATTACTCGATATATAATTTAGTTCTAAGGCGTTTCAATCAGTTTCTATGAATTTTATCGATGATAAAAATTCGATGAACATTGTTTTTATATATTGCCAAATAGTCCAGGTTTTAATCATTTATTTTGTTTTTAGTCTTCATTTTTCTTTGAATAACATAACAAATCAATCACAACAAAGACACAGTACAACACATTTTCAGTTGAAAACCATTTTATTAATTTGTTTTTAAATTCATTTGCCAATATTGGGCAAAAATTTATATGTGAATAATAATAAATTAAACGAAAAGAAAACATACTAAATAGCTCAAGACGTGAATAAATGAGTCAATCATACATTTGTTTTTCCCTTAAGATATTATGCGTAAAATGAAAAGCAAATTATAATTAATAGCTATTTTGATGTCATTTTTAGAATTAATGTCTTAAAAATATCCTTTTTGCATTATGCTTACAATTTATGTTTTCAACGTAATACAAACAGAAGGATGACAAAATAAAATTATTTCAATAAATTTTCGTTTCATTTCATTTTTATTGGGTCATACTCTTTTCGTATCTAGTTCATGCTGTCATGTTGATCGATTAACAAAACGGAGACCAATCAAACGTGGAAAAAAGGTACTTTAGTAGTAAGCTCTTCGCGGATTGTTCTAGAATTACCGAAACAAAAACATTTTACTCATTTGAATGAATGTACAAATTGTTTAAATTTGTATTGTATGAATTACCAGAGGATTTGGTCGGAAACGATAGGCCAACATCATACGTTTTCGATAAGCATCATATCTGAAAAAAAAAATTAGAATAACCATTGTTGTTGCTATTGAAGACAATGAAAAAGAATGGATATCGTACTCATTGTCACCAGCTTGGGGCGTTGTATTTGAGGTAGTTCCTAAGCCTTGGTTACTATCACGCTGCGTAGCCCTATGAAATTGATGAAAATATTTTTTTTATTGGATCAAAAAAAAGAAAAATTATTTGAATTTGAACGAACTTATTGATTGGATTAATAATTCCACCGCCATCAACTCCCAAACCTTGACCCTATAAAGCCGTATAAAAAAGTTTCAATATAAAATATAAATCACGTAGAAATATATAATAAGAAAATTACCTCAGTCCATCCAAGTTTTTGTAACATTTGAAAACCTACAACGAATAAATATTATTTAAAATGAAAAATTCAAATTCTCCAAAGAAAAAGGCATAATTACCCTTGTTATCCTCTTTAAGTTTGTATTCTTTGTAATCGCTAAGATCGGGCTCTCGATTTGTTTGTTTTGCTTTGTAAATTTCCATGAATTTCTTTAGTTCTTCCGGTGGCAAAAAGTCACCGATATGATGTTTTCCTTCCGATTGACGGTTTAAAGCATCGGCCCATGCAGCTGTTGCCTCCATTTCGGCTTCACGTATCTTATGCTCCCACGTTCCACCCTTAATGCAACATTTATTCAATAACATCGTTCAACTTTCGAAAACTTGTATATACATTGCACACATACCTCAACGTCTTCATCCGAATCGTATTCATATTTATGCTGTCCACTTTTTGCTAAGCGATCCAATTCGTCGCGTTTTCGTAACATATCCTGATACAGAAGATTCACCTTGAAGTGTTCTTCACATTTGGCCCAATCTTCCTCGGTGAGATCTATTGTACCATAATTTAATCGTGCATAATTCAAAAGAGCAGGATCTGTTCGTTTAACTGCTGACAACATGGGTTTATTGCCGTGAACTTTAACATTCGATGTTGATGGTGTTTGATTCGGTTGCTCTACATTCGATTCAATTTTTTCACCCCAACGACTTCGTTTCTTCCGATTGGCATTGCTCTGTGTTAAATCAAAATTTGAATTTTTTTCTTCTTGTTCTTGCTTAAAATCACCAAAATCTTTCATGGCCATTTTGGCCGGATCAGTAACTTCATTTATAGCATTTTCTCGCATTTGAATTTTGCGATACATCTCCATATGGTCTTCTTCATCGGTGTGATCACCTTCGTCGGACGAGTAAGTCGATGATTCGGCATAACGTTTCTTCATATTTCCGCTGACGATGCGACGTTTCATATTTTTTAAATTTCGTTCCATTGTCTCTTGCATGTACTCCGAGTCCGAATCATAATCATCACTATTTGACAACGATGGAATATTTAATAGTTTTAGTGGATTTGTCTCAACCTCTGCTTCGTCGTCGCGCAAAATATCTTCCGGATCGTATTTTTCGTTGTTGTCTTGTTTGGCGGACAACGGTTTTCCCAATTTTTCCGAACGATATGTCAAAACCTTTTGTCTATATATTTTGTAATTCTCCGATAATTTGTCGTTTAAGAACCTAAACATGCAACAAGATGAAATATAAATAAATTGTAATTTATTAAATAAATTAAATGGAAAGAATTTCAAAAGGAGAATTGCATTTCAAATATTTCATTGAGTATGTTTCATCGCACTGTTCGGTCACATTTCCCCCAATCGGATTTGATTTGTATGTGTGTGTGTGTGGATTATTTCGAATGCGTATTTCAACGTTTAAAATGCAAGCGAAAAATGCATTGCTTTTACCGAAACAGAGAACGCTCATTCATTTGAGCAATTTCAGCAATAATTTTTTCTTCGAAACTATCGCCATTTTTCGCAATGTATTCGATGAGGTCATCAATATTCGTCGGTATATTGGTTGGTATTGTTGCTGCGATGTTTATCGATGGATTCATATCACTGTTCAATGGTTGTGGATTCATTTGTTGATGTGTATTTACGATATTTCGTTCCATCTGTTCAATATTACGACTCATTTGATTTTCGTTTAGATAATTGTTTCCTGAAAAAACTACATAAAATACCATCAACCACTTGGACGCATATAAATTTGTCATAAAATGCTATATCTCATTTCATTTTTTTTGAGCATAAAACAAAGTGAGAGTATTACAGTCTCACAATGTGATTGCTTTTGTCATTTTCTAACCTTCAAATTGTGGTTGTGCTTGTTGTACGAATGGAGGTGGAGGTGGTTGTGGCGGATGATTCATCTGTGACACATTGATGGCCGTTTCAATGGAAACAGGTGGAGGAGGTGGTGGTGGTGGAGCTGCTAGATTCAAGAATGGCGGAATTGTTTGATGAAAAATTATTGAATCTTTGATGGGAGGTGGTGGACCCAAAGACATTGAATTTGTTGAAAATGCCGAATCCAATCTGAAAGTGGAATCACAAAATTGAAATAGTTTTCATTTATTTATTATTTTCGTATTCGTTTCATAATCACTGTGGAATTGGTTGAAGCGCATGATCATGATCTGCATTTTCTCCACTCTCGGCACTCTCGGCCTTTTGTTGTTCTTGTTCTTTGGCCAAACGAGCCGCTTCGATTTTTTGCTTTTCTTCTTCCGCTTTTTTAGCTGCCTCGGTAATTTTGCGGAAATTTTCAAAGAATGTGCCATCATTTGTAAAATTATTTTTAGGTGCGGGCGGTTCGGCTTCAAATGTTTGTTTCGGTAAATTTGATGGGTGTTTGACGTCTTTCGCTGGGTCAGATGCAACTGGCGTTGGTGGTGTTGTTCCACTTTGTGCGGCTACCACTTGTTTTGCTAGTTCGCTTGTTTTTTGTTTTTCTAGAAGTTCTTGCCGTTTTCTTGCAATCACTTCTTCTTGCCTACTCATTTGGGCAACACGACCCTCCCGTTCACCACGAAAATGGAAAGTTTGATGCCGTGACATTGTTTGTACTACGACAGAACACTTCTTCCACAAACAGTAGATTGTATTTTTTATTCTCAAACAAAATCGGGATTCAGTTATACGAACACAACATAAAACATTTAAAAACACTTAAAAACTACAATTAATAAGGAAAATATTGTTTTTCTGAAAAAAATCTGGTCAATTGTTGTAATGAATATTCTTTCACTGTTCGATGAAAAGCTTTGTCTTGTTCATTTGACGTTTCATATTCTGACAGCTGTCAAATATGGCTGCGTACAGTGCAGCCTATGAACAGCCCGTTTTTACTAGAAAATATGTAAATGGATTTTATTAAACTGAAGAAAACCATGAAAATTGCTTTCGAAAGAGAAAATTTTTTAATTTAATTTTTCCTATTTGTTTTTACAAATAATTTTCAATTATAATAATGATGTATTTAAAGTAGTCTTAAGCAGCATACAAACAAAAAATTTCAAAAAGAGCTAATAAGTAAGAGTGAGAAGAATCATTTAAAATGATACAGCCGCTTACTTCTCCAGATTCAATGCATTTATGAATTCTTCTAGTTTTTCTTGGATCTGTCGAACACGAACTGTAAATAGAAAACAGTGGATGGTTACATAAAACTGTACAATTCTCAAAATTTTCAAATAGCTTACTCAATTCTTCTGCTAGTAAAACACGTTTTCCTGTCAGCAATTGTACTTTTTTATCTTCGTCATCGCTGAATTCATCGAGTACCTCTTTGATCTCTTTGTCAAGACGTCGCGCCTCCCGGTTGACCACTTGCTGTCGCAGAGCGTTCGAAGTAACTTTGAGTACTTGTTGAATGCGCCAGAATAGTACAACGTCATTACAGTTGATGAGTTGATCATAGTTGCTGCTGCCTTGTTGCTGAGAATACAAATAAAATCCTTTTCGGCAATCATATGCTCGAGACAAGGCTTTTTTCAAAAAATGACGTCGATAAACTGGATACCATGTCTCGCGAATGTAATCCGTTTCCACTTCGATATTCGATCGTTGCAAATTCTTACGAACGGCCGTCATTTCATCATACGTTAAACTCGGTAAATGCTTTGGATCACTGCTCAAGATCTTATCAAGTTCGCTCTTAACATGACGTCGTTTGGTCTGGTCTTCTGTGCCCGACGTCCATTTCAGCCACTTTTCATAAGTGCCCGGGCCAAACATTTCCGTCATTGTCTGTTCGGTTGTTTGAAGTTTTGTTTTAACTGACTCTTCGAAGAATTTTACCGCTTGATCCCACTCTGCTTTGTCATGAACGCTGCGATCTTCAAGTGTATTTAGTTGAATTATACGCAACATATCGGTGGCTTTGTCTTCCCATGTATGACGCTTGACTGCTTCTTCCATAACAGACGACTTTAAATTATCGAATATTTCATCGTGGTCGGGCGATTTCTTTGCCAATTCGATGAGTCGCTTAAATTCACTTTGCAACGTTTCAAATCCAGACTCAACAGATTTGGATGGCAAGCCTTGATCAGCCCATTGCCTTAGCTTAATATCGACCATCGTATTGAATTGACCTAGACACAGAATGTATTTGATTTCAGTTAATCACGCCCACGATGTGAAAAATGGAAGAAATTGTTATACCTGGTGAATTGGCGTTTGCAGCTGCTAAATAAATATTTTCGAAGCAATAGCTCGATAATTTTTCCCATAATTTATTATACAATAGATTCTCCCAGTCTTTGGCCGATATTTGTGATAGATTCACTACTTCATCCAAAATTTCGCCCTTGGCTTTTTCAAACAACTCATCGCGACTTGATTCGCGCAATCTAAATACGCCAAAAATATTTGAGAAATTAACATCAAATCCATTTATACCGATGTCAATCGCTTACCTTGGGAAATTATTTTTCCATTCTGTCTCCAAATTGAAGCGAGTGGCTTTAAATGCATCGGCTTGTTGTTCAACGGTTTCTTTCACCATTTTCCAAAAACGATCGGCTACGGCTAAACTAAGATTTCGAGTGGTGACTTGATGCGGCATAATAACTCCGCTTCTAAAATTTTACAAATTGAATTTCACATGAAGAAGACATGATTAAATGAAACTTACTGAAATAGTTTTGAGTTTTTAAAGAATTTCTCTTCATAATCCTTAATGTTTTCAATGGAATCATCGCCTCGTCCGCGACCAGTGACAACCGCAAAGTAGCCAAGTGCTCGCATCGGAAACAGTTTTCCGGCCAAGATTTTTCGTATACGATCTGGATCGGCCAACTCTTCAGCCATATCGACTTTGGTCAATACGAAAATTGTGCGCTTGCCCAACGGGTCACATTGCTGAACTAAATCAGTAACATTGCTCCTTTCAGCATCTACAGATCCATCTTGAATGCATAAAATGATTGCATTCGGATTGCTCATATAATGTTTGGTCATTTGATGAATGGCATCTTTTGTGTCCATCGCCATGTCGACAGTTTGTGTTGCGATAATGCCAGGCAAATCGACCAAAACCATTCGTTGCAAACCGGGACCTTTTACCGTCATCGAAATGACATCGTTGCTAACGGTTTTACCGCCTCGAACTGATGCACGCATACGAAGTTCAACTTCACGGCGCAATTCAGCCAACTCAGATTCCTTGGTTAAATCGTATTCGCGGTCACTATTTCGAAATTGTGCGATGTGATATGGTCCTTCGGACAATGTTACTTTGACCGGTGCACGTGTCATCATCTCGCCCGAACCACGTGGAAAAATTCGAGCCCTTGCAATCGATTCCAGCACTGACGTCTTTCCAGATGATTGATCCCCAACCACTACAACACGTGGCAAATGATCAGCCGTTGAATAACTTGAATCGTAGCCGGATAATTCGTCCAAAACTTCAGAGTACATATCGATGAGTGATTTCTGAGAGAATAAATTGATTGATTGATATTATCTTTAAGTGGCAGTAAACATCAATTGAATTTTTAGTAAAAATCGTTCCTACTTTGATTTTCTTGCCCAGTGTTGTTTTTCGATTGGTTTTGATGATCAAGTATTGTTGACGTAGTTCACGATTCTCTTTCTCCAATTTCTCGAGCTCTTTTTGGTATTTAATTTGAACGTTCATAATTTCCGTTTGTAGAGCTTCAATTTGTTTTTGCATCGCCTCATTCTTTTTACGACTGTCGTCGGCGCTTGGCGCCTTTGCATTCACAGTGTTTGCTTTTCGGATCTCATCTTGAGCTGCTTTAGAATGAAAATAAAATTATTGTAACATCAATAGATTCCCTTTAAATAGTTTCTGTTTTGAAATCGTAACAAGAATGATTGACTCATTTACCTCCGTAAACATTTCCAATAAATTCAGAGAGACTGTGGAACGAACCTAAATGGAAAAGAAAAGATTCGTCGTTAATGGTTCGGGCTATTAAAATTATTGATGAAATGAATATGCAGGGCAACAGAAACAAAAAGAAAATTGGACACAGACTTTGTTTCGAATGGGTTAGCCAATACATTGGCTTTGGTCGTAAATCATTCTTGTACGATGATGCCGAATGGAATCGAATTCATGAATTAAAACAATATTGCAACTTTCATAAAATCTTACGTTCAATTTCTGGATGTTGTTGTGTTGATGCTGCCTCAATAGCATCATCGAGACGAGTATCGAACCAGGCTCTCCATTCATCCATCTTTTTTTCGCTGAGTTCTTTCAAGCGTGGATCAATTTCAATAGAGTCTCGAACTGAATTTTTTATGGATTTTAAATTGTTTGAAAAACTACTCCACTGATCGTTGTTGGGTAAAACATCATCCAACCATTTGAAGTCTGGCAATCCATCTCTCCATTCTTCATATCTCTGTTAAACATGTAAATAGCATTTTCTTCTGTCAATATTTATATCATTGGATTATTTAATCAGCGTGACATTTTTTTTTATCACAGAAATCTACCTTGTTTAAAGTAACACCACCGGTGATTGCACCGCCAAGAAGCAAGTATCGTAATTTCAATGCACCTCGTAAAATTCTAACAATTAAATAAATTATCAGAAAAATGTCCGAAATAGTAAATTGAAATGTTGTAATTTACCTCACAGCCAACATTCCATAACTTCGACTTGGCACTGCCATCAAAGTTAATTCTGGTTGCTTACGTTGCAATAACAACCCTGGATTTCGTCTAAACGGTTGATGTTTGTACGCTCCATGTCCCGAAATGGTTGAAAAATTCAACCGGGTCACATTCAGAATAACAATCGGTCGGAACGCCTTTGGTCTCACTCGGAACCTAGTCACACATCACGTCACGAGAGAGAACGAAGAAAAAAATCAATATTTTACATAATGTCAGCGAATAATAAATTTTAGGTTATGATTTTTTTTTTATATTTACAAATTTTTCTTAAAGAAAAACACACTTAAGCATTTAAATCGCTGATAAAAACTGAAAATTATGAAATTTACCCAAATTTTCCGTGTAGTACACGTGACATTTTGTGCAAATCAATCCGTTCTTTCTATTGTTCTGGAGAAAAATCTTGCATTTTTTCTAAATGAAAAAAAGCCATCTGATTTGGAGTACAAAATGCGACTGACTAATAATTATTTGACAGATGTTTTTTTCACTGTGCCGACCAACAACAAATGACAGTTCACTCGCAACTGTCAATGTCAAATCTCTGTTTCACTACATTTGTGAATGAAGACGATTTTTTTAAAATATTTTTCGGGTTTACATTATGCTTACTTATGATATTTTTTTAGAATTTAATATTGTTTATACACTTGTTAACAAAAATGAAACGAGGTATACAGAAGAAATGAAGCGCAATTTTAAAGCGGATTTCGAATAAAATTTATGTGTTTTGCATACTTGTTTGTTTACATTGTTATTATGATTATATCAGCGATAAAATTAGGTAGTAAGAAAAAATCGGCCTATCACGAGCGCTGAGCGCTGACAGTGAAATATGTAATGCTCGGGGCATTCTTCTTGTTTTTTTTTTTTTTTTTCGAAAAAAAGCTGTTCAGGAACTGTGAATCATATTCATAGCTTGTTTTAAATCAAAATAGCTTGTTTTAAATCAAAGAGAGTCGACCAGAAAGATATAAAAACGTTTTACCATTTATCTTTTCCCGATCTTTTGAGAGTTGATTCTGTCTTGCACGTTTAATATGTCCAAGTTCAAATAAAAAGTAAATTTATTTTGAATTAAGAGAACACTTGTAGCGGTCAAAAATGACGCAGAACAAAGATATTTTGTGTAACGCAAAATTACAATGGAAACAACCAAATGGAACGCATTTCATAAATTTAATTAACATGAACGTAGACAGAAAGTCTATGCTTTAAGTTGTTATTTATTCAAATAAATCTTGATCCCGTTGGCTACTTCATTTTTCTCCGCGCTGTAAATTAATGCGAAAATCGGCATTTTATACATTTGATTAACAGTGAACGTGCATCGCATTTTTCTGAACAAAAAAAATAATAATACGAATTGTATTTCTTTAGCCATTTGCCGTATTTTCATTTGAATGAATTACTAAGAAACCGGTAGACCATTAACAAGCATGGATCATTTTGAGTGAGAACTTGAATATTTAATTGAATGAAATTAAACATCATATAAGAAATTTCATTTGAATTTATCACACGCACAATATTACAGACCTAATGATCAGCAATTTGAATACAAATGGAATGCAATTTACTCAAAAATAACATCAATTTATGCACATTTCTAAAGATCATAGGAAATAAGTATTAATTGAAATTGAACCAGTTTGATTAAACATGATACACTCATTGTATTTTATTATAATGAAGTAATACCAATTGTTATGTATGCTTGCTGTCTTTCACCTGCGATGCGATCAAAATATAAATCAAATCTAAACATCGTTTGGTATAATAGCCAGCTTATCTCTTTCTGTAGAAATCTATCGTCATTTATGATCTCAATTTGATGGAAAAAACCGTACAAATGCAGAACAAATTTTTTAGCGAAAATTACACATGAAAAATAAGAATGAGAAAAACAAAAACATAAACACCGACAACAGTCTCGTTCAACATGTCAAACTATATACCATTACTTATGGCTTTTGATATTTTATAGCGGCGATTAGCACAGTCCAACCAGACCAGAATATTATTGACATCAAAATCAAAGCTACACGAGAGCAACCGAATGATGCGAATAAATGAGAAGGAGAGAAAGAAAAATGTCATATATACAAAATAATGTTCGGACGTCCTTGAATTACTATAAAAGTGATATGTCTTTCAGAATTTGAATTCAGTCTCGTTCAACAGTTATTCTTGACTTCATCGATTCAATCTTAGTGCTGATTTTGGTTTTATTTCAGAAGAATCAATTTGCCATTGGAATTATTTTCTGTGTCAATGTTCAGTTGTGAAGTTTAATCGAAGTTTTTTTTTATAAACGGTAAAGATTTAATATTGATTCTTACTATATTAAACGAAAAATATTGAAATGCAAGAACTAAATAAATAAATTATAAAGGTAACATATTTTTTAATGATTAAAGATATGGAAGTCAAACTGTTTGTCCAAACAACTTGAGGCTGTTGAGATTTGTTTAAAAATTTGTCTTTTATTCATAAAAAATACGAAAAAATCAATCTACTTTCTATTTCTTTAGTAATTGCATTACTTCCGCTTGAATTTACGTAGCAAAATTCTGGAAATTTATTTTGTGGGGAATTTATCATATTTTAAATTCAATTATGAACACACTTATAATGTTATATTCCGGTTTCTGGAGTAAAATAACAAAAACGTCATGTTAAACAAAAGTGAAGATAATCTGCTAATTAATTCCAAAACCAAGTGAATCGTGCTAAATTCACATATTGAATTTCGATGCGACCTCCAGACTATTTTTTTACCTTATTTGCTGAGCAAATTTTGCTCCGAAGTTTTTTTTTCTCTATTTTCAAATAACTGCACTTTTGTTAAGAATCGGCTTTAAAGTTAATATTCTTTAATGGTCTGATTATTAGGTTGTGAATTTTAATTGAACGGTACTGAAAACGCATTTATATAGTTTTAGGCAAAAAAGACACATTTATTTGCTCATTTACCTGTTTATTGTCTATTTTATAGAAGAATCAGTAGAAGAATTATTCAAAAGCAGCCGAATTAAATTAAGAAAATGTTGTCTAATTTTTTGTACGTGACACTGGGATTAGGCCTATTTACCTTGTGCATAGCAGAACGTCCGATACGTAAGTTTTTGATATACTTTAATAAATTTCAAGAAGAATAATATCTAATTTAATACAATTTCGGAATTTCTTTTTTATTGGAAAATTCAGTATAAAAGATGTTTGAAACTTGCTAAATACGATTTTTCTTTAGCTCATCTTTACTTTATCTATGTGTTACTCACTCTTTAGTTCTTATGAACGTTTGACTTTTGAGCCTACAATGATTTTTGGATAGGATATGATTTTTGGATCATGCGGCTACGTACGCACGTTTGGATCCGGATCTTGCGGAGATCTTACGAATCTATCCAAAAATCATTGTATGCTTTTGAACGAGATATCCCCGGTTCAAAAAGTATCAAATCTTCCGATTTATTATGATATAAAAATCTATTTTTATTCCGACAAATAAGAAACATATGTAAACTTAATATTATTAATATTTTGTTTCAACTTTGGATTTTTTGTATAAAAAGTAAACAGAAAAAAAACTACTTTATCCTGCAAGCAAAGTGCAAACGCCGCCGTCATAATATTTATAATTCGTTTTGTTTGGAACTTTGGTTTCATTTTCGTTTCAATTCACACCATCCAAAAAACACGAAATAAATTATCAACATTTGAACGTAAAATATTTACAAATATGAAGCGCCAAAGTGACTTTCAAGTCACACCGATGACACAAAAAACAATTTAAGAATTCGTGTCGCTTGAAATAAAGTAAATGACTAATTTGGATAAATGTTTTTAAAAAAAAACAGCTAAAAATATCGGTAAATTGATAAATATTCGTCTGTTTGAAACATATTTTAATTTATGAACCATTAGTGCTATTTTCAATATTTATTCGTTATTTATCAACGGTTCTTCTTCTAAAGGAAACTGGAAAGGGGTAAATGACGTCAGAAGTAAATAAAAGTGAAATTGGGTATTTATGGTAACATCCGTTAAAATATCGTTTGAACTTTCAAGAGGGTCCGGTTTTTGAAAAGAATTTAGTTATTTTTATTCAAACGTAATAAAAATGATATCAGGTTTGTTAAATGCCTAAGCCTTTCAACAGTCATTAAGTGTGTAAAAGCATCTTCAGAAGCTTTTTTACACGTACTGTGAAGTTGAATGTCAAGTTTCATTCATAGGGAAATGGTTCGATATTAAATTTAAAAATATCACCGACCTTAAAACAATACGCAAATGATATCTATGCGGTTAATACATCTGTTCGTATTTTGGTTGTGATGATAAACAAGACCCACGTCAACCAGGCTGTTGTTAATTTATTATTTCCGATGTTTTCTGAGCAAATCTTATCAATGGAGAGGAAAGATTTCAACAGATGTTTTCTGTGTAAATTGCGGTGACTTTTATAGAATGCAATGAAAACAAAACAAAAAAAGAACTTGGTGACGCAATTTAGACTAGTTTACGCAGATAAAAAGTTCTGAGTTCAAAATCATTACAACAAAAATGTTGCCACCTGTTGAACTCACTTGACACACAAAATCATTTTTTTTCTATTCAAAAGAAAAAATCAAACGCCTAACGGCAATGTGTGACAAAGCAGTGTCCAGTCAATATAGAGACATATATCGAAATTCAATGCACCGGTTTTGATATTGGTACTTTTCATTCAGTACCATTTTTTTGCGAATAATTAGCGACTTGATGCAAGAAAGAAAACCAATTGCATTCTTTATCAAGGTCATTTTGTCATTTTTACTTGTTTCGGCACACACGCACTCAATAATTTATGTAAAAACGTCTAAGTTCAATTGTTTTGTCGCTTCGCCGCCGTTAAATGATGAATGCACGCAATATATGTCTAGTAATTACACAAATAGAAAAACGTTTTAAACGTTAGATTGTCTCATAAAATGAATCGCGTAAATAGCTAGTTCGATATTTTTTTGTAAATTGCTCGCAAAAAATTATCGTAAATTCAATCGATCGCCTAATATTTTAATTAATATTTATATTGGAATCAACATCGAATGTACAATGTACACATCAAAGCTCTTGACAAATATCGAATCTAAACGACTGGAATTGCAAAGGAAAAGAAGCATTTTATAATTGCTTTTTTTTAAAACAATCAGGTTTTGTCTCCGTTCTTCAAAATAATAATTTTAAACACATTGAATAAACATCTCATTTCCAAATTATACTTTTTTTTTTAATTCATATAATTTTTCTGATTTATATAGCGGATTTTTTGCATATTTGTCATGAGAGCGATCCAAATATAAATGGTTGTATAGCTAGTAGTATTGAGAGCCTCCGACCTTCACTTGTGAATGGGATACCAAGCTTGGATATTCCGAGTATAGAACCAATGGATGTTGGAAACTTATTAGTAGCAGAAAGTACGCGGTCCAATGGTTTACACATCTCCGCTAAAAATATTCGGGCTTTTGGCGCCTCAAATTTCAAAATCAGAGGCTTGGAGTAAGATTTACGTTTTTTAAGTCATTGCTCATTCAAAAAAAAAATTCTTTTTATTTTCAGAGTTAAAGAATATGGGAAGACGTACAATGTTGAAGTATTCTTCCCAAAACTTGAGGTTGACGGTACTTACGATGTAAGTGGCCAAATTTTGCTCCTTCCGATACGCGGTTCGGGTCCATTTGTTGGAAATTTTAGTAAGTTATTTTTAATGAATTGCAATTTCAATAGAAAAATGTCTAAAAAAAGGAATTATTTTCGAAATGTAGCTGATTGTACTGGAAGTGTGCGCCTGCAATTTGCACGCAAAGAAAACAGCGATTTAGTTCAAATCAATAAGTTTCTCATTAAAATCAAAGTGGGCAAAGGAAAATTGAAACTTTTCAACTTGTTTAATGGTAAAATATATACAAAATTATTACACATTTATTGTGAAAAATATATTTAAAAAAAATTATTTCTACATTTTTAGGTGACAAAGCACTTGGTGAGACTTCATTTTTCGTTAATCTATTTCCTTTTTAGGAATTTTGCCCTCGAGTATTAATTTTCCATAATAATTTTTTCGATACAGGTGATGCCGTAAATGGAGCCATAAATGAAAACTTTGATGCTGTTAGCAAAGATATCATTCCATTAGTTGAAAAATCACTTCAACGCCTATTGAAAAGTATATCTACAAAAATCCTCTCCAATTTCACATATAACCAAATTTTCCCAAAATAAGAAAAATACTGAGTATATTTTGTAATGATCTTTATTTTTTGGTATTTTTTTTTTGTCACATCAAATCGATTTATGCAAATATAATAAATCTGCTGGAGAAAATACTTTGGAAAATAATCGCAGTTCTAAAACACACTTTTACTTATCTCAAATTAGGAAATAGATTATCAAATATAAAACCAAGCGATAATGTTGACCTGAAATAAACAAAAACATAAAAGCATGTTGTTAAAAAAAATTCCTCGTCAGTGATTCACGAATCGCTCGTAAAACGTGACATTTTGAGCGTTCATCTCAGTGGCATACGTTGATTTAATCATGTTCATTCATTCCAGGTGGAAAAATAATTGCGCTCTATTATGTTGTTTTTACTTGAGCAAATATTTAAATTACCTTATCAGAATATTTGCACATAGTCATTGTTGGTATATAAAAAAAATCAAAGAGCACAAGGTAAACAACAATAATGCGACAAAAACCGATTCGATCTAGAAAAATGAAAAATATTTGGCAAACCAACCAACAATCTTTAATTTACAACAGATTTTCATTTATGACAAGCATAAATACTACATCTTTCATTTTTTTTTATATCAATTTTGATAAGCTTATTATGACTTTCATTATGATTTCAAATGTATTTGTTGCCGACAATTGAAATCTAATCGTAATCCTTTCAAAAGAAAAGCTGCAATTACACTCGCGAGCGCCATTAAAACGCTGATTATCACAAATGTCATACATTTTTAGATGAAAATAAAAAAAGACTTTGATTAAAGTTTACTGCAATGGAATCATATCATCTTTCAAGAAAAAAGAGAAGGAGAGCTTGTGAAGATAATTCAGATAAATCATATTCTCATGCTTATCGAAATTGGTGAAAAAAAAATTGAGTGATGGTTGCACGTGGCTGTGGAAAAAGTCATTTCAACAACAGCTGATATCTTTTTGCGTCGCGTGAACATCTACTATTTGTTTAATCAATAATAAATGAGGAAATATCTGTCGGTGAGCGGCAATTAATGTGCGATTGACATAAAAGACGATGCTATAAACTTATGACGTCTGTCAAAATGGATAATTACGGTAGTTATAGACAATTGCCGAAAAATTGAGAATTTTTACATCATTCTTGGATCATAGTAAAAACAATAATAATCCGCAATGTCGTAAAAAATTAGCACACTTATCTTCTCTGGCACATAAATCAGTTATGAGGATATGAGTTTATCTAATATAATGGTAGGTTGGGTAAAAAAAAGTGCGCTGAATCTAAACACAGCAATTAAGCCTTAACCAATTTCAAATGAAAACAGTGGAATATTCCATCCAAATGTTATTATTTGAAACGTCAAGAAATTTTATGGTTCAATTGTTTCATTTAAGTACGATTTAAACCGATTTAAACATTTAAAACCCTAAATAACTTTTTGACAAATGGAGCAAAGCGTAATAAAGTGATCATTAAGGAACTCAATTAAGACTCTTAATTTAAGAGACGAAATCTATTTGCTTTCCGTTCGATATAGCGACGAACCTGGATGAAATTCATAATATAACGAAGGTACATAAGAGTCACATGACTTTTTTTTATGTCTTCTAATGACAAAATGAATAATTGAAAAATTGCAAGAAAAACGTAAACCAGTATCTGGCGCCATAACAACGAACTCATTCTGGCGCCCGCAAATCTGGTAAAACGGCATCCAGTAAAAAAGGACTGAATAAATAATCAACAAAGTAGATGATAAACAAATGTGAAGCCGTCGAAAAAAGTGCGTAGCAAAACGTACACGTGTAGAGTTACGTAAATGAAATACGATGGGAATGTTCCAGTGAAATGTGCAATGCGTATATTTTGAATAACAACATTTGCCTTGAGACAGTCTACTGACGAACACGAGGGTATTTTAGCCCCCGAATTGAGCTCTTCGCCATGACAATTAAATAAAAGAAAAAAAGCTTCATAGAACGGTATTACATTTTCTTATATGGTTTAATTAAGACTGAATTGTGCTGATCGAGACTCATCAAAGCCATATGTGCATAGACAACATCTGGTGACAATCGAGTGCAACACACTCATTCATTTTTCTGATAATTATCAGACTTTGTTTGTTCTTATACTGTTTGCATTTAATCATTCATATTATGAATGAGACACATGCATTATTTGACCTGACTTATCTAGATTAAATTAATCAGAATTTTTCAATTCATTTTATCGTTCGTGTCGTCATAAATACCATAAAACAGATATGAAATAAATATATATAACCATGTCGATAATTTGCAAAAGAAAGACGTCATTAAGTTCATTATATCATCTCACAAATGCTATTGATTTTTATTGAGAAAGGTACCGAAATGTGTATCCAGCTCAAGGAAAATTCCCCCGAACAACTCAACTCATTTAAAGCTAACAATTCGATCAATTTACATTTGAAATTTGGTTTCTTACAAATTGCGTGAGTCAAACTAAACGAATATTGCGAATAGAGTTGAGAGAGTAAATGTAAATAAAGGTATTTCGTTTATCTGTTATCATCGGTTAGTAGAAATTTTGTTGAGACCAATTTTCGCGTGAAATAAGTTCTCAATTTGGTCTTAAGCCAAAAAAAATATACAATTTTGTTGGTTGCATTCGTTTTTACTGCGATTTACAAAAGGCCATCAAATCAACGTCACTAAAAATTGTATTTTTTTTTTTAAATGAAGGAAACGAATCATTTTTTATTTAAATTCACATATTATTCAATTGTTTACAACACATTTGAGTTTATTCGCCTTTCGCTAGTAGCGACCAACCACGGAAACTGGTTATATGATTGCAAAGCGGTTAAATGATTCGGTCATTGGATCAATTTACTTGAAATCGATTCAAATGATCAACTTTATATTCCAAAAACCGATCATTCCATGTAAGATCTGCATACAAATTCTGACATTTTTACCAATTCCCGGAAATTGAATGAAAATTCTATAAATTTCACGCATTTTTGCTTGTCAAAGAAAAGTTATGCAATTTTATTTTACTGATCACAATACAATTGCCGCATGCTATACGTGAAAAGCGAAAATCCAGTTTGGAATTCTGTGCGTAACTTTTCCGTGAATCATGCAGAAGGTCATTGAGTTACCTTTGTTGGAATGTTTAAACATTCGAGTATATGGTTCCGATTTATTTTAAAGTCAGTACAACAACTTAGAACTGAGTCTGAAACAGGCCGGCACATCTCGTTATTTTATTTTATCACTACAACTCTTAATGTTTTACCGTAAATAAGAGCGAAAGAGAGAGAAAAATACGATAAGATAATATGAGAAAAAAGAAATCAGTAATCGGGAAACGAATTTTAAAAAACACGTTCCACAAATCCCATACAAAAAAATGTGTACAATGTACACACACTCACTAATTTGCATATGGAAATCGATATTCGCACAATGTATATGTCGTTCACGTTCATTACGGTGACATCTTTTTGGTTGGTTTTACATTTTTTTCTGGTGATTTTTATTTTGTTGGCAACATATTCGATCGACAGTGTAAAAAACAAATAATCATATAGCATAACAACGACGCGTAACGTGGCGACAACTATATTTCTGTATTTGTTGTAAATTTTCATAGTAATGCTGATGAGGATCTCTGATTTTGTACATGATAAAAACCAGAATTGATATAGGGATTGAAGAATTTTGAAAAAGTCATTCTTGCTGGTCGATTTCGTTAGTCCAGACAAAGTAAAGTGGTAAAACAACTGGCACTTGGTACATGAACTAAAAAAAATCGCATTTGTAAATCTATACGTACATTCACAATATACAATATAGTCTTATAATGTAAGAGGATACGACACTGTTTTTAGAATATAAATGGTCGTTTACATGTCCCGAACATACACTCGTGTATGATTCAAATTTATTTTCGTGCCATGCAAAAACTCTCAAAATGCTTATATGCTATTTTTATAGAAAAATTATCAACAAATATGCTGCAAATGTTGATCGAAAACACATATCTCATTACATAATCATAACTAAACACAAAATTTGAAATAAATAATTTTCGGAGAAGAGAAGCAAAGAACGAGAGCAAATAATTTAGGTAAACATAAACAAGTGTTCAAATTAATAACACTACAATTGACAATGACAATGGTTTGACGTACTTACAGTCTCTTATGATAGTGATCATTGCGTAGTATTAAATTTATCTATGGCAACAAACTTATGATAGTGAAATGATTTCACTGCAATCTGCCTACTTCACAGTTTTATGATAGTCAAAAAATACTACACGCGTTTGTATAAACAGATATAAACGGCTAAAGCAACAACATCAACTAAAACGAATTTCCCGATTTTTTTTTCTTCAATACAGCAGAATGCTCACTCGCATGACTGTTTCTCTGCCGATTTAAAATGCGGCTGTGGAAATCTTTTCTGAAAAAACATGCAAAGGAAAAATTGTATATCAATGCCGTACATTTCCTATAATATAGCCAGCTGACGTCGTTGTCGTTCATTTTAAAAACACGTGATATTGCCAGGCCAACGAATTGACAGTGAAAAAAAAATGAATGTGATGCTGGCATAGGTCCCAAAATGTTTTATAGTCGCGCAGTATTTTCTTATAGACAAGATATTTTTGATCAGGATCTGCTGTTTCTGTTTTGAATTGATTTAAGCATGTCTAAGTTATTTCCTATACTTCGTCGTTACTCTATCTCTTTAACATTATAGACCTTGGATTTTTCATTTTTTTTTTTCATTTGATTTCGAATGAATCGATGAATCTGACCATACTGACATGAAAAGCGCCACGGCATTTAGATACGATATAAATCAAGTTAAAATCGATAAGAAAAAGCAACCACTTTAAAAACATATGTTAGACGTCATATTCTCGATATTCTTGTCATTCTATGAAGAAAAAAATCCGCATGTGGCAATGAATACGGCCGTTTTTATATAGTATAGTAACTATAGTTCCATGTATTGTCACACGTTTAAACAGAAACATTTTCTCTAATTAAAATAAGAGTAAAATTAACTTCTTTCTCACCTGTTTTCATTATATATGTATCACTTTAACTGACTATTTACTCAACACAGCAGCTATTGGTGATGATACATGAGACCAAACACGAGTGGTTACTTACAGAGCAAAGCTTAGAGCTAAGCGCAGACAAACACCGAACAATTTATGACACTTTACTTTAGATACAATTTAGAAGAGTTGATCGATGTATTAAATTCATTGTTTGTCATTGTCGTCGTCGTCGTTATTGTCGTTTTCATCACCCCGACAGTCATATTTCCACACGTACGTCTGATAAGCTGAATCATGCGCGCGCATCATTTTTTATTGTGTGTGCGTGAGCGCACGTCTGTTTTGCTAAAAAAAAATTACATTTAATTTTGCCTATAAAAACCGGTGCTCGCTTTGCGCTTATTATCACAACGAGAAGTAAATTCGTAACGACACATTTTGTCTTGACAGATCCGTTTGTTGCTCTTCACGACAAAGCCGAAATTCAATTTCAATTCAGTACTCGCAACGAGCACCCGTAGCTTTTCTGTGTGTGGATTGAAACGATAAAAAGAACTCGCGTCCACCGTCAAAGAAAGAAAAGAAAAATAAAATATTTCAATAAGTTAAATAATACAGCAAAGGAATTCATTATTAAGAAGAAAAAACTTCAAAAAAGAAGAAGAGGAGGAGGAAAAATACACAAAAAACGCCGTTGTTGTTCGGAGAGTCTCCTTTTAGAATCGAACCTTATTTTTTTTTTAAATTAATATTCAGTGTTTATCTGGCGTTCAAGTCATACAGAGGTGGCAGTCGCATCGCGTGCTGTTGATGTGAATACAATTTTTTTTCCCCGAAAAAGATCTGAACTTTTAATTTGAACCGTTTTTATTGAAACATTGCCAAAACGTTGTCCACAACGAAGTACAATAATCCAATTAAATCCAAAAAATCATCCAATACGCACAAACAAAGAGAAATTCATAGCATTCGATTAATTGCGTTGCCAATCGTTAAGAAAAAGAAAAAGTGTAAAAAGAAATATTTCTGTAAATTTCGTGTGCCACAATTAAGTGAACTGAATCGTGTGACCGAGTGAAATTGACATTAAATTTTTAAATTTAACTAAAAACGATTTTATGATTTGATATCATGGATCTGAATACAATTTGCGATTATTTGATTTTCTTTGGTTTTTTGGTCGGTTCAACACTGTTTCCGTTATGGGGCAGTTTGATTCGTAAGAAGAAGCAAAACGATCAATCAGACACAAAAGCAAATTATGTATTTGCAACAGGACAGGTTGGAATTTTCGCAATGATGCTGTCGATTGCTCGAGGAACTTTGGGAGTTCGGGCATTTTTAGGTAAGTCAAATTGAATTATATCATTAGGCAAAGAAAATAAACTTTCGCGTTAATTAAATGAACGTATTTGTTTTAAACTAAGCAATATATCACGTTTGAGAATGAAAAACCATCCAAGCTTAATAAGTACTAAATGAACACTGTGGCATGTGATTTGTAGTCATCGTTTTTTCGTCAACGATTTATGCATTATCATGTAATTATTACTGAACGAACCATTTGCATTTAATTGCACCCAAACCAGTCTAGTCCGTTTGAATTAATATGTAGTTTTTTGCTTTACTTTGTTAATATGTATACCATTTAAATTATTTGAATTTATTATAAGTCCGTGATCTTAACCGAATTTTCCGTAAGTGTTTACTTTATCGTTAAATAGATTGGACTTGTCGGAGTCATTTATAATAGATTAATTTGTTGTTTCTATTTTTTTTTATTTGTTTGACGTTGTACTATTTAATTACTGTCGATTAACATCAGTACTTCACGGCAATGAATAAAGTGCTTCCCCAGGCAATGTAACTTTTGTTTAATAAATTATATGACAATAGGTATCGAGTGTGCTCAGAGGTCTTAACGGATAAAAAAAATCTATATCCGAACGATTTCTTATCACAATCGAATTCAATCAGAAGATCTAACAAAGATTCAATTACAATATCGGATCATTTGGTCCCGGTTCAATGCGTGAATACCTCTATTCTGAAGTTGATTCAAAATGATGAAATTAATTACACAGCAAACTTGATGTGCAACCGATAACGTCGATAATATAGTTATCTTAATTTATAAATAGATTCATCTGATATTTACTCTGTGATATTAAGTGTTTTTCGAGAAATGAAATCAAATCACGTTTTAATGATAATAATGACTGTATATCAACGATTTGAACTACTACTTAAACTATTGACTCACTAACAATGAGCCATAGCCAGCAATTTTTGTCCTAATCAGAATCAAATTTTCAACAAAAAAAATATGTCATTGGTCTATATTTCTCTCTTCCGTAGAAGTATTGGTCATGGTCAGTTATAAATTGTAATATAGAAAATAAAATTACTTAAATAACGTGGAGTCTATGAACGAAAACAAATTCGTCTAAACAACTTTGTTGTTACGGCAGACAGATAACAAATTATTTACTTCAAATTTAAGCTTTTTTTTTTGTGATTTAATGTCAGATAATTCATGTCAATTGTTTCAAGGAAATTTTCCATATTGAAGTGGTTCACTCTTGCAGAGTTTTTCAGACTTTCGTTCATCGTCGATGAATTTGAGAAAATTGCTGTTTATATGCAGAATAGCATCAAATGACGACGATACCGCCACAAATGAATGTTTATAAATAAAATGTGAACGATCGTGAAATGCACTTTGCTCAACTCATGTGGACTCAATAATTACGATTCATCGTTGCGATATGCTATAGTTGTTTTGTTGTTTGGCAAATGTTTGCCCACTGCGTCAAATAAAAAGCACACACACGAACAAATAGATAATGAACGAAATAATTTTGACAAAGCAAACACAATTTATAAAAGCAATTTCTGCTAATCGTGTGCCAAAGTACGGGCGATCGTTTGTTTTCGTATCCTTAAAATAGAAGCACGCGTTTCACTAAGAAGCTCAAGTACTTTTTCCATCGATAATGTTTTTTTTTCTTCATCTATCTACTTATTTTGCAAAAGATAATTAAGTTTGTGTAGTAATTGAAACTTGAAAGTAACCGTGAAACGATTAAAATCACGCTTTTGAAATCATATTTATCATATGAAACATGTGACTTGAAAAACAATTGAACAACAATCGATCGAGCACACTAAAATCTTATCGATGAAAGAAACCGTGACAAATAAAAAAAATCTACAGTATAAGTCTTGTATTGATAAGCGTTGATACCTGACCAGAACATTTACCTCGAAGTAAAAATATATATAATCAATAGCCCATTACGCAAATCAAAAACCAATTTAGCTTTTGTTTACATTTATCGTTTCTCGTTCAATCTGCTTTATGTTTTGCTTTGTTTGCTCTTTTGTGCTAATTTTTCATACCGGTCACGAGCTCATTTTTTCAGAGTTTACAAATTTAATTGAAAGATGGTAATACTTTATCTGGGGGTTATACAAATTCATTTTATTGTTCTTAGTCATGAAAATGATAACTTTACTGAATTTGGTTTTACCCCACTTTAACCATACGATTTACTAGGTAATTTGAAATCATTTAGATCGCGTTCAAATGATTTTGATAGCATAATTTCGGTCATATCTCCCAAGCGGTAAAAAAAACTCATTAATTTTGTTTGACTTTTTTAAACATGGAATTATCGTCCAACTTTCCACTCGAGAACCTTTTATTATTTAGTCAATTGATGTGTTTTGTAGATTTTATAAAAAAAAAATTGAATCACTTTTCATCGTCTGAGAACGAAATTGAAGAGGATCGTTTTTATCATCGGTTTAATTTCACCTTCAATTCGTTGCTTGAACTGATGTTTATTCCTCTGATTATTCTGGACTTTTCTTATAGTGGAAATACAAACAAAACAAACCAGAAATTTATTTAAATTTTTTTTGAAACAAATACAAGCAATATGATGACTTCACATCAAGTGCCCTTTCATTATACTTAAAGCGACAATAATATTCGTCATAAATATGCATAAATGATGCGTAAGAAAAGTGCGTAGTTGGTATTTTTAGCTGTTGAAATCACCAGTTCCCGGAATTGTTTAACTGTAATTTCGATTGAAACAAATATTTTTGTCAATTTGAGAGTTTAAATTTAATGCCTTTTATTCTCTTTCTTACGTGATCGCATTTCAAGAATATGGTACGAACAATCATATTCTTCCAAAACAGCTTTTCGCCAATTTCAAATAAAACAATACAACAATAATTGGCAGAGATGTGTTTGAACATTTTTTATTGTGAGCGCGAAAAAAAAACGCACACACTCACATTTGGTCATGTGCGTCGCTTCACATCATGGTTCAATGCGATACATACAATAATGACTGTACATTCAAAAGCAACTCCTCATTTTCTTTTCAATTATAATTTATTTCAATAGTATTTAAGCTCAATGGTACCAGTCAAAGTAAATAATAAAAACAAAATCTAGATCACTATATAAAACAATGCTTTTCTGCGAATGAAAAATAGTGTGCTTTTAAGCAGAAAAAAGGTTAATGTTTACTCACATTGAATACGCGGAAATTAGTGAATAAATTATTTAATATATGGTCATAAGTATTATTGATATAATGATTTGTATCTTATCGTTTTCAGGCTACCCCAGTGAATTATTTTACCGTGGTGTTGGCATGTGGGAAACAATTTACGGGTTGGCGTCTGCCTATCCCATTGTATGCTTTGTTTTTGTTCCAATTTACCTCAACCTCGGCATCACGAGCGTTTATCAATATCTTGACTATCGGTGAGTACAAAATAAAACGTATTATAATGATTAATTCACGCCACACACAAAAAATACAGACATTATTATATTCTATGACAAACAAATAGCGTCTGCATGAATTAAAATTTGGCAATTGTTTTGTAAAATATTGTTGTTTTCTTACGGTTTGTTTGCAGATTCAAAAGTAAATTGGTTCGTCGCTTGGCATCGGGTACATTTATTGCACGTAATGTATTTATCATGGGAATCACAATGTACACACCTTGTGTAGCTCTCAATACAGTTGCTGGAATTCCATACTGGGCATCATATTTGCTAATGACAGCTTTGGGCATCCTATTCACAATTTTCGGCAATCTTAAAAGTGCCATCACGGCTGATGTTATTCAAGGGTTCGTGAATTTTCCTTGTTTTTTGTATTTTTTTTTTCTCTTTTGGATGCCATTTAATTTATCTCTTTCCAACGAACAGAATCACAATGATTATTGTGTCATTTGGGGTAATTGCACAGGGTGCATATGATGCTGGTGGTGTGAAAAAAGCCGTTACAATCAATCGCGAACATGGTCGTTTAGACTTTTTCACATTCAGCGGTGACATTACAACTAGAATCGACACGTTGTCCGCTTGGTTGGGACAATTGTTCATTTCGTTAAGTGTGCTCGGTTGCCAACAAAATAATGTACAGCGTTATATGTCGATGAAATCACAAAAAGACGTCACACGGTAAGAATTTATTTCGCATTTTCTTGTTTCAATTACAAACAAGTCGTCGTATGATCATTTTGTTTATGTAATTGAATTGTTTTGAAAAAAATCTCTATATATTTTTAGCACACTTATGGCAAATGTACCTTTCGTCACTTTCTTGTTTTCATTATCGTGGCTTGTCGGTATGGGCATCTATGCAACTTACTTCAATTGCGATCCATACAAAGCTGGATTAATCGAGAAAACCGATGAAATTTTGCCATTCTTCATTTTGGAGCGTCTAACCTATATTCCTGGCTTCTTGGGCTTGTTTATGGCCACATTATTCAACGGTTCATTGTGGTATGCACATAGAAAATCTGAATGCATTGCATTTTTCTCTTTACAAAAATGTTTTTATTTTAATTTTCAGCATTTATGTATCAACGCTTAACTCAGTGGCAACTGTTACCTGGGAGGATTTCATTTCACACATGCCAGTCTTCCGGAAATTTGCTGATTTCAAACAATTGTGCGCGATTAAAGCACTTGGTGTAACATACGCCATTATTTGCATGGGATTGGCCTATGTTGTATCCATGTTTTCGGGAGTCATTGAGATTTCCATGTTTGTAAATGCAGCCACATCTGGTACGTTGATCGGTGTATTCATATTGGCTATGTTGATTCCATTTGCAAATGGAAAAGGTGCATCGGTCGGAATGATCGCATCACATACCACAATTATTGCATTGTCAATTGCCTCTTACTTGGGTGATAACATGATGAAAACGGAATTCTTACCAACATCCATCGAAGTATGCGTTGAATAATAGAATTTTTTTGTGCATCAAAACATGATTGAAATTAAACGAATTGACTATTTTCAGGGTTGTAATAAAACTGCCAATCACACATCTTTATTTGCTGGGGATATGAGTGAATATGAACGTATGAGCCGCCTTAATTTGACTTTCTATGAAGCTCCATTGGCTGAAGATATTGTTGTTGAAAGGTAATTGTTTCGATACAGTTTTTCCTTTTCAATTTTGATTGTAACTAAATCATTTTCTTTTAAATAGATCATTCGTGGAATCGTTCCTCAAAATGAGCTATATGTACTACAGCGTGTTCGGTAGCATTGTCACCGTTGTTGTTGGTTGTATAGTCAGTTTGTTCACAACTTCACATTTATATGATTCAACGCTTGTACATCCCGTGGTTTCACGATTTGTAAAACCAAAAACCGAATTGCCGGTTATCAACGAAAAACAACCACATCGAATAATCAATTCAATTTCGGCTCCGGAAAAATTATGCGAAAAACTCTAAACGCCATCAATTACTTAATGGAGTGGAAGAAATGGAAGACCCAAGACGGACTGAAATTTGAAAAGCGTCAGGGGCTTTATGACTGCTACTTCAATATCTATGTATATCTCTATCGGCCTGTACTTCGGATAACAAACACCATCATTCAACGCCGCATTGGAATTCACATTTTAAAATTGTCAATTACAATGCAGTATTAATTCCTATTAGTAAATTATGTACAAACACTCAGTGGCCAAATTTCAATTTGAATGAATTTCGGTTTCGAACGTTTCATAGTGTTTAGTATATTGTTACGAATGTGTATTACATTTACCAAATATTGTTTTCATTGAAATTGCAATGTTCAATGGCAATTTAGTCAGATGCACTTAAATCAGGTAGTTCAACATGCATCAAAAACAAACTATTACTTAAATTAGCATTATTATCAAATCAATTAGACTAGATCATTTTTAAATTTTATTCGTTATTTATATACAGATTTAAGACTCTTGTTTAGCGAGTAACGTGAACTGTGTTATGTTGTTATGAGATATGCTTATTTTTATACAGGCTATTCGATAAGTCAGTTCGTAAGAAGTGTTTAAGTTGTGAGAGTTTTAATATTAGAAACTTAATAAGAATAAAAAAAAATGATAATTATACAAATAACCCCAACATTTATTTCATTTAAATACTTGAATGTGTTGACACTGTTGTCAACGGACGTGACCGAACATTGTGACGAAAATTCAAACATTGTGAATGGTCACTTATACCATAGTGAGCTTTGGATTCAAGCTTAAAATCATTTGACCATTCACAGTGAACTTCACTGAGTGAAGTGGCTAGCTTACAATCGATTTCATTTTGTACGACGATAAAAATTGCATAAAATATTCGTGGAACAATTATTTGATTTTTTTTGACAATCCCTGTAATTATACAATTAATTAGAAAACTAAACGGAACTCATTTCTCATCATAAAAATGCTCTTCAATTAAGATAGTGTTTTTAAATGGAATTTAATATGCAAACAGAATTGATTAATAATTTAGTATTTTTTCATTAATTTGGTCCATTCAAATTGGTAAATGTAAACATCATTCTGTTATGTTCTGAGTTCGTGATAGTCAACGTAGCGGAAAACGAACGTCTTAGATTAAAGTCATTCGTTTTCATCCGAAAGATCTACTGTTGCTACATCTTCATAAGTACAGATATTTAACATCGATAAGCTCCGCATATAATCGATAGATTTTTAACACCATTGAAGTTTTAATATACGCTGAAAAAGAGATGATCTTTGTATATATTTGTATATCTAGCATCGGAAAAAAATCGTAGGCGTCTCCACACATGAATATTGTAAGAGAAAAATGATGTTTTTCATTACATTACCGGCAATTATGAAATTAATTAACAAAACATCATATTTTTTCTTCGATAATAAAATTAGATAGAGTATGCGACCAGAATTCAGAGCGTTCGATTGATTAATAACTCCAAATGAGCAAAAAAATATTCAGTACTTCATGCTGGTTTTTTTCCCATTAAATTGAATTATTTTCTTTGTTAAATGTAAAAATCGATGTGTTGCGGTTGAAATTCAAATCAAATGATGTTCGATACAGGTACTTCAATATTGTTTTCATCCAATGAACCGTGTAAAATGTTGTCCATCATTTGTTGCACGTGTGTTCATTTTACCTTGGGCGCAGTTTGACCAAAAAGAAAGTCTTTTATATGTATGGATGTTGTCGCTGTTGGCATATGTGTAAAAGATACTACGTGCAATTCAATTTTATACAATAGCCATAAAGTTTCATTGATTCGTCTGCACGTCTGGCTGAGGTGTGCTCATAAAAATGAACATTTTTAAAGCACAATTTCATTTGATTCGATTTAGATTGGATCGGAAAGGAAGTGCAAGTATTATGTTCATAGCAGAAATGATTAAAGTGATGTGATCGAAAGCGTTATGAACAATTAAAGTGTGTGTGTTTTTTTTCAACAAATTATATAATGTGTTAATGCATTCAAAGCGGTGTTTTTTAGCCTAAGGTGGTAATTGATGATTTTGAATTAAATTGGATTTGATTCGAGTGGTGAGACTTGTACTTATTTAACCGCAACGGTTTGTTGTTAATATAGGCAAGTAGTAAAAAAACACCAATTCGAATTCAAATTGAATTTGGAACAATACACGATAACCGATTTTCTTTGAACGCAATTGAACACGTTTTAAAGTAGAAAATATAATTACTATAACAGTTTTTTCTCGCTCACTTCAAAATTGCTTATGTGATGCCATCAATTTGTTCGGAAATTTTCTGTTTATTCAGTCATCTCTCCTTGCTCTTGAGAAATTTACTTCCAGTTTTTTTTTTGCTTTTTGCAAGCGTATGTACATTGTACAATTTATTGCTTTCTCTGCGTATTATTATATTGTTTTCATTCTCTGCTTTTGCATTCATTCTTCCTTTTCTTCTTTTTTTGAATTTATTCCATTGTGGTCGATTCCTACTATTTGCGTAACCACGACACGTTTTTTCTCTTCGCTCAGTTGTTTTGTTTTTTAAAGTGTGAAGGAAAAAAGACTTTAACAACAATAACAAATTCAGCGGCAACATAATCACAACAAGAATTATTCAATATCATTTCACATCGACATATATGCTTACCGTTCAAGTTCATTGAAAAATGTATGTACTACAGACATGATATGCATCATAATTTTATTGAATTTTCTTGATAAATCGGCCACCTTCAACCCGAATCAAAGCCACCGTTTTGGTGCATATGCAAAAGCAATTCAAGGGTAAAATATGTCTTCAAGAAGTGAAAAATGATTCCGTCAACATTTATTCAATTGAAAATACACAATGATACAAAATTAATTAGGCTAGATCATTTTTAAATTTTATTCGTTATTTATATACAGATTTAAGACTCTTATTTAGCGAGTAACGTGCACTGTATTATATTTTTAACTTATTTACTGAGACAAGATATAAGAGAAAACCGAACATTGTTTTTTGGGCACGAAATTTATCTCTTTTATAGCTAATTGATATGAAGTTATTCTTGCAAAATATTGTTTAAACCGTACTTTTTGTCCAATTGATTTGCTATACCGTATAAGATGCGTTCAATTGATTCTGCTAGTGCCGGTCGAATTTCTGCCGTGATCTCACGCCAATTGTTATTCAAAAAGCCATTCATCATTTCACCTATTTCTGGTTCGCCATTAAATAAGTTATCCAATTTTACGGAAGCGCTGCCAATATTGAATTCCACTTTAATATCACCAATTTTCTCACTGTTTTCATGTGCACGGTCAACATCTGAGCTGTCTTTCTTTTTTATTGTTATGGTCGCATCGACATCGCCTGCGAAAATAACAATTATTCACGAAAAAAAAATTAAAACTTGGAAACTTCTTGATCAATTTTAATTGTTGTGGTCAGATGCTACTTACTGAAATTTCCGGTTGCCAAGCCATTCCCAACCAACGGCATGAGAAGTACTTTGCCTTGTATAATGTAATTCGATGTCATTTGAAGATGCGGAAACCATAAATCGGCACGAAAACGTTTCGACACGGGATCAACATTAATATCGCGCAATGTGAAATTTGACAAACCATGAATAATGACATCGTTGTATTGTGATTCAACTCTAATGGCGCCCGCATTTTGTATGATTCGAATTTCGGGAACTTTTAACGGCTCACATTTTGGAATCAATAGCTCGGGAATACCTTTAGCTAAGTTTGGGCGAACCGATTCGATGGCATTTTTCAAGCACTCATTTAACTTGGGATCATTTTTCTGGCACTGTTTCAGAATTTGCGCTGTAATTATTCACAATTAAATGATTTTTCTTTCGGCTGTTAAACACAAAACTGATTTAATGCAATTGAAATTAACTTACGAATATTTTGGCCTTTTGGTATGGATGATGAAACCGCAGCCAATTCACGATAATTTATGAAGAAGCTCAATAGAGCAAAAAATCTAATTAAAAAATGCATTTTCACGAGCTTCAATTCAATCGACAACCAAATGGTAACTGAATGTGAAATTTTGAACACCTCATTATCATATTAATGGTGTCACAATACGAAAATTGTTGAATTGTAATTTATGATTCTGTTGTTTTTATGTTTGAACATTTTTTTTGCGGTGTAATAGGAAGCAGTTTGTTTTCCGTCTTTTTGAACTGTTTTGATAACAAATGAATTTGTGAACGTGAACATTTTCAAATAGCTTTAATGCAAATTGAGAAAAGTGTTTAGTTCACATTTCAGTCGTTTGCGAAATGCAATGTCAAAAAATGTCGATCATTTGCTGCATGCAAATTCTGGAAAAATGGCACGTATCTTCCGACAATAATGATATATTCTCAGTTTTAAGTACAATTTGTGTTCTACGAAGCATAAATTTAAGTGTTGAACTTATCACCTGGACGAATGAAGTAAATGTCATTGAAATATCGGAAGAAGTTCAACGACACATGCTGCAAATTGCAATGGATTTTTTTTAGTCGTAATAATTATCAATTAATTTAATAGCTTGACTGAATGAAATGCATTGACGCTACTCGATTGAGTTGTTAATATTATGATGTGTCTGTTGAAAAAACCTACATTGATCGCATTTGCGTTCACAAAAATTATGACATTTTTTATGTATAGATTTCGTGTTCATTCGATCTAAAACTCAATCTAATAATGTTTCGGACAAAAAAATCATCGGTTTCAAATGACAGCGCTGTTTGATTCTGTTCAAAGTTCTTTTATTAATTGCTCTTTGAAATACCATTAATCCATGTTCTATGTAGAATGTAGTAGATTAGCCAATAGCCGAGATTTTATGGTAAACATTCGAAAAGTTCTTGCTTCGGCTTTGTTTGATTGCAAATAATGAGCGGAGCCTTGAAGTTTTTTTTATTATCTACTTGTAAATCTTATATTAGAACTTTGTTTTTTATTTCTCTTTAGAATTTTCCACTAGAATATAAGTGTGTTAAACAATAGTACATTGCCCTGAATTAATCTAGCAAGAAGTATAGTTTAGTATGTAACTTTTGTGATTATCAGTTTTGTACATTTTTAGTGTCTTGCACTGTATGTGCAAGTATTGCAGAACTTCATGTGTTGCAGAAAACTAAACTTTTCTATGACCAGTTTTCATTTTATTTTCTGTTTGAAAAATCAGAAAAATGTATGTGCAAACGTTTTACGTACTATCGAAGGCAACAATTACTTTATCGGTTAAGTGAATAGATGTGCTTCGGTGAAACGGCGATCAATTGTATGTGATGCGTATGCCCGCGAATAGAAAGTACAGAAAATCCAACTCACTTTTTCAAATATTCCAGCGAAAGACACACATTTAAAATCGTCCCCATCATTTGTGCCAATTTAACAAAACTATTGAAAGTCAACGCGAAACATTTTGAGCAAATATCTATGGAAGGCAATTGAAGCCAGGCTCATTTACGCATTTAATTGCAGTCAATTTACCACGTTCATATTCATATTGCATTCATCGAAGGAAACGATCTCACTTCCTGTGATTGTATGTTTGTGGATGTTTTAGTGAATTTTGCGCATAATTTTCGTATTTGTTGCATAACTCATAAAATAAAAAAAGGAACTTCCACCGAAAAATATTATGCTGGAAATGAAAGCCACAAAACGTGAACCGTGAACAAAAACAACAACAACAACAACAAACCATACATGATTTACAACATAAAAAGTGCAGCTACGGCTAACTGTAGTCATATTGCAAATATGTGCGTGTGTGTATACAAAACGAAATTGAATGTATTGGTAAACGTTCACTTTGGATGTAGTGCTGCACTCTTTCTGCGCACACTTACACGCCCTCCACACGTCAATTACACCAATACCATCGTGCCAAATATTGACCGCTGAACTGGTGTCTTTGCGTAAGTACGATTTCTCGCTGTTTTGAAGCCAACAACGCACTAATAAACTGCCCAATTTCAACTGGATGAACGGCATCGACATCGAATCTCTTGATTCATTGACCAAACCTTAAAAGCAACATTTCAGTTTTGTATATCGTTCGTAACGGTCTATTCCGTCTAAAAGTGCTCACTCACCAAATATTAAATCCAACGAATAAATTTATCTGTTGTTGCCACTGAATTCATTTACAACGGATCCGACTGCAAGGCGGAATATTTGTTTTTCACTGAAATCGCCTTTTAAAATACGAATTTATTTATTTGTCATTTCAAAGAATTTTAAAACGCAAGTGTTAGCATTGACGAATCAATATTTGTGCATCGAATAAGAATTAACATTCAAGTGTGACAACACAAACGGTGCTTTTGTTCACAGAAGGAGGATTTTTTTTTTATTTCATCATCTTGCATATAAGTCGTGCCACTTTAAATACCATAATTCAGTGCCGACGAATAAGTGCGACATATTCAAGCGCAATTCAATTTGTGATATAAAATAAAAATAAGAATAAATCCATTAGCCAGTTTCGTAGCGAAACAATTAATAGGGCAGATTACTTCGACTATTGTTCACAAGAAACAGAGTTCAATTAACAAAATGATCAGCACCAAGAGTTCAGTTTTATATTTAGCTGCTTTGCATATGGTCGTATATGGAACATATGGCAAAGTATTAGAAATAGTCAATAGTAAACCACAACTTAAAGAAAGACGTAAGATATTTTATTAAATATATTTATTTTTCTGCCAAATCTTTCAAAGCGAATAAAAATCAAAAGTAATTCGCGTTTCAACATCACAAATAATTTTTTTTAAAAAGCAAAGAATTTGAAAGTAAAATGTGTGAGGCAAATTAAAATTCATTCTGAGCATTTGCAATAAAGATTTTTCGTCTTGTTTTTTAATGGCATATCATCGACTTGCTGAGCATATAAAACTTGTTGTCCATATCAAAATAGTGAACGCAAATGGAATATAGCCCACTTTTCTGTAGAAAAGTCGTTGATCTTGGTTTAGTTTCGTTTTCTTCATTTCTTTCGATTCATCATTTTTTTATTCGAAGCATTGTGCCAAATTTTCGACCATAAAACGATGTAAACCGGTTTCCATGTCACGCTGTCAAGAGCATTTGATCAATTAAATAGATTTTGTGATATCTTTTTCGCAAGTTTTTATCAATCTTCTTTTATCAAAAGCCGATACAAAAAATCTTTACTCCAAAAAGAAGAAGAAGAAGAAGAAAAATGTCTCAATTTATATTACGTAACGTTTGTTATAGTAAAAAGATGTTATTTTATGTCAAAATTATACATGCCATATGATCTCAAGCACGTCTCTTTTTACGAGCGACAAAAATACACTTATGTTACCACAATAACATGTGGATCATGAATGTTTCAATGTCTCTTTTAAATTAACTGCCAATCGTTTTCATGCTTCATAACAACGGTTAGTCTGACTTCATATATGGAGAAGAAGCGAAATAAACAAAAAATAACATAATGTCGGTGTTCATTGATTACGCATAAAAATACATAACAAAGAAAGCTTCTCCATTTCGATTAAGTAATGGGCGTTCGATGTTCGGTTAAAAATAACATTCAAAGAAAGCGAAATGAATGCAAAAGAAATTCAGCAAACAAAACGGTAGTCGGTGTACGAATCGAACGATTGGTTTGTTCAAATATATTGTGTGGCATGTGTGATTTTTGGTCATAGACATGGGAGTGGATAATCATATAATTATAATCAAACAGCGATTGTAAAATACATTTTGCTTAAAATTCAATTTACAAATCGTCTTTAAGCCTAATGACAATGACCACTTTTTGTGTGTGAATTGTTTAATTAAATCATGATCTTCAAAAAAATTATCACGAGTTCAAAACGTGATGATTCAAAACATATACAGACTATGTTCAATGATCTGTCAAGTAGCAAGTTCACTCCCAACAAGTGAAAGCTATCGTATGCATTCAGTTCCGATGTTTTTATTTTGCTATCACTTAGTAACCGTTCGTCGATATGATCAGTTTTATTTCAGTTTATCGATATTGGCAATAACCAAGTCGAAAAAAAAGCGAAAGCATTAAAAAGATGTATTACGTTAAGTTATGACATGTCTGGTTCCGTTTCCATACAGACAAAAAATCATCAATTAATAAAATGTAATTTTTTTCACTTCGGTTAATATTTTTCAAGAGTAATCATTTCCTTACATGTGTTCAATAGTTGATGGTGATAAATTTTCCGTTTAGCAATTTCATGATTTAATTGACTCTATTAGAGTCGAAACCAATTAGCACTTTAATTTCACATATATTTTTTGTTGTTCATCTGAAGAAGAAGAAGAAGAAGAAGAAAAAACCTATCCAGTCCGATGCGAACTTTTCGTGGTGATGAATAAAACTTGTTTGCATTATGCAATGACCGAAAACCGAAACATTTAAAATTGCTCTCTTTTGCCATACCGTTCGATATGTGTTGATTTATGTATTCATATTTTCGAAGCCGTTTCACCAGTTTGTCCATAGCGAAATGTCGTCATCGATTCTCTGGAAAATAAACCGTGTGTAAAGCTGACGACAACAGTGACGTGCACGAAGTTAATTGGGGTAGATTGAAGACATTCAATAATTGCCAATTTAACTAAACAGCAAACAAATGCCATAAAATCTTCATTTTTCTTCTGGAAATTTTTTGGTTTGTTTGTTTACGATTTTTCACATTTGTTATTGATCATTTCGAAAGTGTTTATTTTGAATGGCAATTAATTGCCTCAATAAAAACTTAACGTAAGTCGATGTTAATTTTAAAACATGAGCGTGATTCAATAGAATTGCTTCGATCTGCATGCTGTCGCAATCAGTGCATTCACATCTTTGTCGCAATTCGCGCCGAAGTCAAACACCAAAACATAAAACAAAATTTATTGACTTTCAATCGTACAACTCTGTTACGCGGTGCAAATTGGATGGAAAAGTTAAATGCAACATATACTTTGCGTAAACTAATCATTATTATTCTCGGCCAATTCATCGCATACATATAAAAACTTCGGATGCAATAAGAAATCGCCGACTTTTTCAAATGCTTTCGATTTTTCATGAAAGATTAAGAAACGCATAAAGAAAAAAACACTCTGATTACGTTAAACAACGACATTGCAACTGCACCGTACAATCGAATGGAAGAATTCAACGATAGCCAACAAAAAAAAGAAACACACTACGAAACCGGTCGATTGCATACATTTTTGCATTTTTTGCGCTTCGCCTTCTCTAAATGTTAATCTTTATTGAAACTTAAATCAGCATTCACTCATACACATACAAATATATCGACAAAACTAACCAAATAGCAAATGTGAACGAACGATAGAATTAAATGAATATTTGATTTTCTTTTTAAATACAAAATTAATATAATGCCAATTTATTGCGGGAACACCATACTGTTCACATATTTTGTAATACTTTATTATCCATGACACATGTTGAAATTGAAAAAAAAACATTTTTTTTATTCGTTCGAAGTTTGAAGGTTTTTGCGAATTAAAACATTTTATTTTAGCATAAATTGCGTTAAATTAATGGAAAAAAATTCATTTTGCAGCTGATTGGTTGCGGCAGTGTAGTAAGTCCAATCCAAATGAAGATGATTGCTTTCGGAAAATGTTTGAAGGGATGTTTCCAATGTTAGCAGAAGGTAAAACAACTAGTGAAGCTGTTGCAAGAATGAGTATAATTTATTAATGTTGACTTTGTTTTGCAGGAATCCCGGAATTGGGCATCGAGCATTTTGAGCCTTTGATTTTGAACTCGGTACACGTTTCCCGTGGTAGTGGCAGTTTAACTTTAACTGGTGGCTTCAAGAATTTAATCGTTAAAGGACCATCGAATACTACAGTTGCCCGAGCAAGGTAACTATTCTTTTTCAAAAGTGGATGCAAAATTGATTCTTTATCAAAAATATAATTATTAAACTCTTCTATGCATTCCAGTCTGGATTTGGAGAAAAAATATTTGAATTTCGACTTGGTAATACCAAAGCTTCGCATTGATGCTACATACAATCTAAAAGGCAACATTCTTCTTTTACCGATTGTTGGCTCCGGAAATGTGGCGATGTCAATGAAAGATGTGAAGAGTTCTGTCTATACAAAAATCAGTATCCGAAAACAACCGGAGGTATATTTTGTCACTTTTGTAATGAATGGAATGGAATTTAAAATGTGTATTTATCTTTGTTCTGCAGGAAGTGATTCATATCGATGAGATGAAGGTGACATTTTTGGTCGGCCAAATGCGAATTCATTTAGAGAATTTGTTTAATGGTAACAAAGTGTTGGGAGCCTCATTAAATATGTTCCTCAATCAAAATGCCAAAGAAGTCATCACCGAATTGAGATCGGACTTGGAACGTGGCCTCGCCAATATTTTCACTGGACTCTGGAACAATGTATTTTCTAAACTACCAAATAAATTGTGGCTAGTATAAAAAAATAACATTCAAAGATCACAAGCAACCAAATCACTTACCGAAAGTGTAGCGATTAAACAAAGTTTACATAATTTATTCCTTAATCCTCTAAAGAAAATGTGCATCGAAATTGATATCGTTCATTTTGTTTGCAATTGTTTGTTTTTGCCCTTTGTTAATAATAATCAAACAGTCGTCCCGACCCAATGTTTAGCTTAGACTAGAAAATTAAATACGACTCTTCTGATTTACCATGTTTCTTATTGTTATTTACCGTGTATTTTGTTTTGGTTATTTTATCGTATTTATCAAATCAGAATGAATTTCAATTAGAAAACCGAAAATATGTACCACTGTACAGTATATTTTATAAGCATTTTAACATTTTCTGTTTTACTTTAAAATTTAGATTGTTATTGTAGGAGGTTTCCATTATTATGAATAAAATTGAAAATCGAAATTTGTAAATCGTTTTTTTTTTTCGCTCAATTCTTTTTCACAACGATTTATTATTAATTCACTTATTTTCACTTGATTTAACATGTTATTCATGAAACTTACAAATCTTATGCAATGAATTCCGAAAACATTCCGATTGTTTATTGTCATTTCTTAATATGCATCATCTATTCTGGGCCAGAATTTCTGGCTATCAGAAATAAAGAAGGATTGCTGATTCGTCTACACTCGAAAGGTTAAAAAAGTGTGGTTTTTTCTAAAAAAAATCAAATTTGCTAAAATTCTAGCCCGAACTTACATTATTTTTATTATCAATTTGAATTTTCTCGTGAACGATCAACCGATCACTTCTGTGTTTGCTGGCGACATCTCGTTTCTCGATCAATAACTTGAAGCAAGCTTTTATTTGTTTACGTAAAGAAATGATATAAATGTACATTTCGGACATCATCATTGAATGTGTAATATGTGTTTATAGTTTATTATTCAACGAATAATATAGCACAATTTTATGAACAATAACTGTCTATAGATCTTTTTTTAAATAAGTGTATTGTGACTTCCGAACTTTAAATTGGGATTTATTCCAGATCTTTATTCGAAATGATAGCCTTATAATAGACATTCGTGATGAATGTTGGTCATTAATAACGTACTTGTTGCTCAGATATGATTCATATAAGTAAATACTTTTGAATATAATCAACGATAGTTTCATTTTTTGGGATTTTTTAAGTCGCTGGAATTTACTATATTGATGAATAGGTGAATAGAATGATCAAAAAGGAAAATATGAAGGCGTTGAACTATATTTTGTTGAGAATGAGCAATGGCCCTCGATTTAGTGAATAAATTAGATTTGATACAACCAATTGATTTTGAATTTATAATATCCAAGTTGGATAATCCAACAAAAACTCACTGCAGTTCAATGTGATACGAATCTAAGCTATGTAGACTACTCCAATTCATTTGGACATTATTCATTTTTGGACAAATGCCGCATATTCCTATAAGTTAATAAACTCCTCCACCCTCTTGATCTGCCAATCTCAGAAATATTTATAATTTGCATAATCTCCATATCAATGCCGAATATATCCGCGATGGTGATTGCGATTTCAATTCAACTTTTTAATGAAATTCTGAGCTACTTTTTTCTATCAAAATCAACTGATCTCAATGAGTCGTTCAGACAACTCTATAAAACATGCTAATTTGCCATTGCTTTGAATAACTAAATTTTGTGGCAAGAGATCACAGTTAATTGACACTCATTCAAAGCTCAACGATCGATCGTGACAATATTCGATGAATTTCCGAAAAAAAAGAAAAACTGTACGTTTAAGTTTTTTCTTCTGTCAAACATAACTTGAACGATTATTTTTAAGAAATGTTTTGAAATCTATGCCTTGTTTCTCATTGATCAATATTAGTGATAAAGACATTTGTATGTTTCAATCTCTTTATTGTGTTTCTTTCTATCGTTCGAATTTGAAATATTAACATGCTGCATGTTACACTAATCCAATCTATCAAGAATTGCAGATTCTAATATTGGAACAGTAAATCAATAAGGTTTATTCCTTTTATCGTGAACCCGAATTCAAAGTCAAAATTTGAAACGTTTTCGAGTTTTTACTAATGCAAATAACAATTTTTTAAAATTTAAATATTTTTGAAATTGCTAAAACAGTATCAATACATTTGAGATTTGTAAAAATATTTGAATACATTGAAAGCGGGTTTTTAAGTGACTTTTTATTTGCTATTTGTTATGGAGTCACATAATAAGCGGTCAATAAATATAAATAAGATGAGTTCAATACGATTTTTCATTTCTAGCATCCTCAGGTGTGCCTGAAATATGAAGAATTCGAAACGTTCGTATGAAGTAGTAATGATTTTCGACGTAATACTATTAAATTACCTAAAATATACTAATTGACCCGTTTAGCTGAAGTTACTTTTTGTCTGCAAATGGGACATTTACTTTGTGATGTTGGTTTCGATTTCCACTCGTTCCAGCAGGTCATACATATTTCCGGATTTTTGCATGCACAATTTAAACGGGCGTTTTTCTTATTTCGGAAGCATATACCGCACTCATTTTCGGGGGCTATCTCTTCTTCTTTTAGGATTTCTTGAGGTGGTAAAACTTGTTCTGCCAAATTAAATGAACCAATCCCTTCCCAGAAATTTTCTGCGTTACGTTTAGCCAACCAAAGGCCTAATTTTTTCCCACGATGCTGGGATTTAAGGATACCATACACACCGATTGTACATTCATCATGCAATGCTTTCCCCTTTTGTGTCCACACGCTACCATTTCCATTTTCTCTAGCCCACATATAAAGACGATTAGTAGATGTTCCAAGATGTATGAAAAATGCGACTCCGTGTTCATCATTTAAAGAACCCATATTTTTCTGTTTTTCATATTTTACATAGATATCGACATCTCCCATTTGATCCCACATCCCCACCTTTTTGGAAGTGTGAACTACTTGAACATAATCTGCATCACCTTTCTTAATGCTATCCTTTATTTTCGGTCCAAATCGTGGTGTTTTTATTGGATCCAAAGCTATTTGAAATCGACACATTTGTTATGATTCTATTTCTACTGATTATTTCCAATGTTTGGATAGAATACATACCCAATAGCATTCGGACTTTTTCGTGCGTTTTTTGGAGCAAATATTGACAAGTCCTTCCAGCGATATGTGCACCAAAACTAAAACCGGTTACATCGACTTGTGAGAAATTTCTGAGACATGTTCTTTCCGTTGTTGCCAAACATTTTCCTCTTACGCCAAACACCAAGTCACGTGCCATCTTTGCCACATATTCAAGCCGTCGGGTTTTTATCATTTTATTTACAATAGCATATATTTTTAAAACTTCCGTTGAAGGTGTTGTGTAGGCATAGGACACTACACATATATTGTTTCTCGATGCCTCGAACCATTCTACGAATAAACAAATGACATTTTATAATTCGAACAAATTGCTCCACAGAAATAGTGGTTGAGTGTGTAGAATTGGATCGAATGATATTTTCTACACAACCAAATAGGAGAGCGGAAGAAAAACTTACGCTTAGCAAAATAAAAAAGGGAATCTACGAAAAGGAAAATGTTTTAATTAAAATTCAAATTTGATTTGACATGAATAACAATGGGTTTATCTGTTCAAAATTTAACCGTTAAATAATTACCGAACAAAGGATCGATCATGTATGAAACTCCATGGAAAAACAACGATAGACCTTTTCCATTATTTAATCGATCAACTAAATCTGATGGAATAATGCCATTGACGTCAGTTATATCAAAATTATCTTGACTGTAAAACAGTGTGTATGCATTTTGCAAAAAATATAAAGGAGCGAGTACGACGTTTCCCCCTTTGCTAAGCGAAATAAATCCGATATACGGCGCTGATTTAAATGTCACTCTATGTCATTCCACAATGATACATTTTTTGGCTTGACAATATATAAGCTCTTCATTCAACATGCATAATTTTTGAACGGTCGAGTAAAAAAAAAAAAAACATATCATAAAATATTCTTCTTACGTTTATCATAAAAATTCTCTATATTTTAAATTTATTTGTTTAAAAATAACAATAATTTCAATTTTTTTTTTCATAGATTGAACAAGAATCTAATGTAAAAAGTAATACCTATGCGACACCTACCGTTAAAATAGAAAAGGAAACTTATTTGGAATTGTAACATTTTGGTCCGCCATAACAGCATCTTCGTTTTGCTTCTCTGTGATTGGTCAAGTAAAACGAAGATGCTGTCATGGTGGACAAAAATGCTACAATGGATACCAACTAAGTTTCTTTTTGCATTTTTACGGTAGGTGTCGCATTGTCATTACTATTTACATTAGATTCTTATTTAATCGATGAAACATGTTTTGTTGAAATTATTGTAATTTATAAACAAATTAATTTTATAAAAAAAAAAATTAATAAAGTTTTTAATGAAAAATGTTAGAAAAATATTTTATGACATGTTTTTTTTTCAACGATTCAATAATTATGAATGTGTATGCATTTTAAATGAAGAGCTTATATATTGTTAAGCCAAAAAAGTATTATTGTGAAATGACAGAGTGACATTTACATCAGCGCCGTATATCGAATTAATTTCGCTTGGCATAGGGGGAAATATTTTGACAGATAGTACTCGATCCTTTGAATGAAAATTAATAAATAATAATAATAAAGTCTCAAACGTGGAATACATACGACTCGGTTGTTATACACGCAAATCTAATGAAATCACCTTGATATTCGAACTCATCAATATCAAAATCGTCAGTTGTGCTTGGCGCAAAGCAACCACCACCAAGGGTGCCATTACATTCATTCAGAAATGCTGTAAAAATGAGCGTGTACAAAAAAATAATCATTTTTTCACTTATTTTTCTAAATTTATTTCTATTATTTCCAACACTTTGCTTATGTGGCCAAACCGTAATAAAATGTATTTTCTTAAGACTGGCGTGTATAAATAAGAAATAAGCAAGAATTTATTTTGAATTTTTGCTTATTATGTACATCTGGAAAATAAGAATTTTGTACAACAAAATTTTCTTTTTGTTTTGTCATACATGACGTCTTCTCGAAATTCCAAAATTTCATAATTGTTGAAACAATAAACAAGTTGTTTTTTAAACGTACTATCTAGGCAACCAAAATCGGCGAGTATTTATAATAGATGTATCGTTTAAATTTTAAAGACGCTGTATTTCATATTCATATTCATTTCAATTTACTCATTTTTGTCGTCCCAATTGTAAGAAAATTAAAAATCAGTCTAAACGATTTTTATAAGTGGACATAAAACAATTGAGCATGTGTGTATCCAGTATTTCAGTCTTATTAAAATTAGATATTTTCTCAGAAAATTTATTCAGGCTGTTGTTAAAATTTCTATTTCAATAAGCGTAATAAAATGTATCATTCCAATCAATTTATTATATGCGATTGTTATTGTCAAATAATTTGGTTTTATTTTGAAGAGTAACTTTTTATTTTTTATATCTTATTAATCCGCAGAATAAACGGCCAATAAATATAAATGGAAAATGTTTAATATGATTTTAAATTTTCCATTTGATGTCATCATCAGTCTAAAATATGAATTACTTGTTGACCTCAACAGCTGATGTTACTTTTTGTCTGCAATAGGGACATCTACTCCCAGATGATGGGGTATTTTTCCAATTGTTCCAACAGGTCATACATATTTCGTTATGATTGCTCGGCAATAAAAGGACATTTTTCTTATTTTCGGAGCAAATAGAGCAATCAGTTTCGATGGATATCCTTTCTTCTAATTCAACATCATGAGCACCCAAAAATAGTTCCGCCATATTAAATGAGCCAATTCCTCGCCAGAAATTCTCCAAGTTCGCATTTTTTAAATAAAGATTTAATTTCTTACCACGATGTTGAGATTTTAATGTACTATATACACCGATTGTACATTCATCATCCAATTCCTTTCCATTGCGTGTCCACACGCTGCCATTTCCATTTTCTCTGACCCATATAAAAAGTCGCTTAGTAGATGTTCCAAGATGTATGAAAAATGCGATTCCATGCTCATCATTTAAGAAGCCCAAATTGTCCTGTTTGGCATTTTTTACGTAGATATCAACATCTCCCATTTGATCCCACATCCCCACCTTTTTGGAAGTGTGAATCACTTGAACATAATTGGCATCACCTTTATTGATGCTATTCTTTATTTTCGGTCCAAATCGTGGAGTTTTTATTGGATCTAAAGCTGTTTGAAATCGACACATTTGTTAAGATACTTTTTCTACCGATGTTTGGATAGAATACATACCTAATAGTAATCGAACTCTCTCGCCCGTTTTTCTAAGCAAATATTGACAAGTTCTTCCAGCGATATGTGCACCAAAACTAAAACCGGTCACATCGACTTGTGATAAATTTCTGAGACAAGTTCTTTCCGTTGTTGCCAAACATTTTGCTCTTACGCCAAACACCAAGTCGCGTGCCATCTTTGCCACATATTCAAGCCGTCGGGTTTTCACCATTTTATTTACAATGGGATACATTTTTAAAACTTCCGATGAATTCATTGCGTAGGAATAAAATACAACACATATATTGTTTTGGGATTTTGCGGACCATTCTACGAAGAAAAGATATTCGTTTTTTATAGTCAGAGTGTGAAAAAGAATTGAATCGTATTGTATTTCTTACACAATCTTTTATTGTTAGAATAGTGAAAAAAAACTTACCTTTAATATATTGAAGAAGCGAATCTGTGAAAAAACGTTTGAATATAAATATAAGTTAAAAACTCAAAAAGAGAGTGGGGTACAAAATTGTTGTTGGCACGCAAAGTGCCCATCGGGCGATGTCTAGTCATGACTATTGGATTGTTTCTAAATCGAATTTCGTGTTCTTAAATTGTGAAAATATTTACCAAATGTAGAATCGACCTCATTTGCGACCCCATAGAAAAACAAGGATAAACCTTTTCCGTTATGCAGGCTACTAATCAAACCTGGTGGTATGTGTCCATTTACATCAGTTATATCAAACTGATTTTGACTGAAAATTATACGTATGCATTTAGGAAAGAAAATGAATTAATAAAATAAAAAATGAAAAATTGGGATACATACGAAGGATTTGATATACACGCAAATTTAATGGGATCACCTTGATATTCGAACTCATCAATATCGAAATTTTCATCTGCGCCACCACCAAAGCAGCCACCGCCTGGAAAGCAACCACCGCCAGCTCCATTGCACGCATTTAGAAATGCAGCAAAAATGACCGTGTAGAAGATTATAATCATTTTTTCGCCAATTTTTCGTCACTTTTCTTCCTCTAGTGTTTCCAACAACTTATTCACGTGGCCAGACTGTAATTAACTGTTTTTCTTGGAGCCATATTGTATTTATAAGCGAAAAACAAGTATTAAAAATGTTGAATTTGAACTAAACATTTTTATTTAATATAGTATTTTTATGCATGACGTCCTTTCGTAATTCCACCAGAAAAGTTGAAACAATATTGTAAACAAGTTGTTTTTCAGACAAATGAAATTGTTGAATATTGATAATTGAATGGGTTCGAATAAAAATTCGACTTGTACCAAGCGAGGTTGACGTATATGAGATTGGGAACTTTTTTATGCGAACGCAGCTGATCAGCGCCATCTCACATTAGTTCGAATTAGATCGAAAAACTGAATTTAATTCTGTAGCATTGAAATGAAAAAGAGAAAAAACAACAACAATAGCACGGCCGCACAGAGCTGTACATCTATGCGTGCTGATGCATACATACACATATACGCTTTCTTCATTCTTTCATTCCATTGTTATACGTATCTCACTGGTCAACAGATCTATGTAGCCATGTTACTGTTGTTGTTTTTTTCTCTTTTTCGATTCAATTCATTGTAACTAAATTGAGTTCAACTATGGAATACAAGATGGCACAGATGAGGGGGATTCGCATTTTGTCTCTTCATAGGCTTAGCCGGTTGACTTGTACGAAGACTCTATAAAAGTGGAACACAGAGTTTTTTTATATAGTTTATTTGTTGTAATACAACAACAATTCTATGTAAAAAAAACTCTGTGTTCCACTTTTATAGACTCTTCGTACAAGTCGGATTTTTATTCTATTCCATTCAATTTATCATGATATTTGTGTATTTTATAAGTCGTATTGTATATTCATATGATTCTCTTCACTATATAACAATAATTGGAATATCTCAATTATAAGAAAATTCAAAATAACTCCTGCTTTCGCGATATCGTTTTAAAAGAATTCGTGAAACACTTGGGCATGTGTGTAGAAAGAATGTGGTATTCCAATGTTATAAAAACTGGATATTTTTCTCTAAGGTTTCTTCCAACTTGTTGTTAACGTAGAAATAAACTTCATGTTTCTTATTTACGTCATTACTTTGTATAGTTCAATATATTATATATTATTCAAGTATTTTCAGCGTTTGTCATAACAAAAGAATTGTTCAAAGTTTCATAAATATTAAAAAAAAAATCCTTCTCATAAGAAATTGTATTTGAATTTGACAGTTAGTATGACATTTGCCACAGGTTCTTTACTGAAATAAATTTAGATCGTATAAGCAAATAGGTGGAGTCATAGATTACCTATCTCCCATTCAAATCGCAAATGTTTCTATGGCATGGTGTTGACGAACATTTCTTTTGAAGGGTGTGATGGCAAAATTGCGTACTCTTCTCCGGAAGAGTCAATTTCATTCAGTGTAAAAGACGTTCGGATGACAATTGATGCCCTTTTTTCGGTTTTTTTGTTCAAAATTTTCTTTGCTGTTTTATGTTTAAAAGTTTTTTTTTATTTCCTCGAAGGACCAAAATCACACTTGGTTTCAACAGGTCGTACATATTTCCGGATCTTTACATGCACAATTTAAACGGGCGTTCTTCTTATTTCGGAAGCATATACCGCAAATCTAATGAGATCACCTTGATATTCGAACACATCAATATCGAAACCTTCGTCTGCGACACCACCAACGCCGGGAAAGCAACCACCACCAGCGTCATTGCACGCATTTAAAAATTCAGCAAAAGTGACTTTATATTTTTTTTATTGGAAGTATAAATTAAAACGTAAGGATTTTTCACTGAAATTGGGCATTTATTTCAAGAGAATGTTACACATTTTTTTATTCAAAGTATTGTCCATCGGTAGCTAGGGGATATCCATGCGAATTAGAATTAGCACATTAGCAAAAAATAGGGAAATTTACATGAAGAAAATAGCAAAATTAGCAATAAATAGCAGAATTAGCACTGTACACGTATATACTTTAGTAAGCATTTATTCTTGAATATATTGAAATAATTAATTAAAATAAAATTCACAAAACAAACGAATTGAATAGTGTTGAACTAAAATGTATCAAAATATGTAGTTAAATACGCTTTTTCTTATTTTTAAATAAAAATATATTCAATATCACGTAACCAAGCACGTTTCATCTGTATTAACTACAATTTACGAATTGCAATCGGAAATGTAGATTTGATGACAGATTTCTTACTGAAAACGTATACGCTAGTGCCTGCTTCAAATATACACGTTGAAAGTGTCAACTTGAAACATTTACGTAAACACATTTCAGTTATTCGATCATGCTGTCAATCTGACGTATGCAATATTTTTGACGTACTAGAGAAATTAGCAAAAAATAGCAGTATTAGAACAAACTAGTAGAAATACTAGCAGAATTAGTGAAAAATAGAGAGAAATAGCGTTTATTATTATAAATTATTCGATCTGCAATTCACGGTTATCCCCTAGATCGGTAGCCACTACTTTTTCCCATTTTCCAGGCAATTCATGGATTCCGTGCCAAAAGAATGGTTGTTGTTTTGAACGAAACCACGAACCGACCCAATTTGCGATTTCCTCCGAAGAAGTGAAGCGTTTGCCTGCCAATTCGTTTTGCATCGTTCGAAACAAGTAGTAATCAGAAGGAGCAATGTCTGGTGAATACAGCGGGTGGGGTAAGACTTACCACTTAGTTGTTTCCAAGTATTGTTTGACGACATTTGCAACATGTGGCCGAGCATTGTCATGAAGAAGAATTAACCGGTTGTGTTTTTCCCTCCATTCTTTCCGATCTTTGTCCAATGCTCGCTTCAATTGTATCAGTTGTAGTCGATCTTGAAACCATGAATATCTTCCTTTGCTTGCGATGGTCCTGGTTCGCCGCGTCGAACGTATGATTTTTTTCGCTTTGGGTTATCGTAGTGGATCCACTTTTCATCGCCCGTAACAATTCGATCCAAAAATGACTTGCTTTTTTGTCTTGCGAGCAGCATTTCACAGATGGTAAAACGCCTTTCAACATCTCTCGGTTTCAATTCGTGCGGCAACCAGTTTCCAAATTTTTGGATGAACCCTAATGCTTTTAAACGTTGTGAAATGGTTGCTTGAGTTACTCCCAATGATTTAGCAAGTTCTTCTAGCATTTGGCATGGATCTTCATCGAGTAACAATTCCAATTCTTCATCTTCAAATTTTTTCGGCTGGCCTGGACGCTCTTTGTCTTCCGTGTCAAAATCACCACTTCTGAATCTTCTAAACCATTTTTCACATACACTTATTGAAATTGAATATTTGGGATACGTTTCCGACAGCAAACGATGACATTCAGCAGCACTTTTCTTTTGATTAAAGTACAAAAGCATTGCTTCCCGCAAATGCTGTTTTGTTGAAACATAATTCGACATTAATCGCAATAAAAAACTTGTGTGTGCAGTATTGTTTTCACTTTGACAGATCGAATTTAGTAGATTTTTTGACGCTCTTTAAGATACAACATCTTTCACTGTCCAAACAATTGCATGTGTGATAGATATGAAGTTAGATAAGAATCCTTACGTTTTAATTTATACTTCCAATACAATTTTTACCGATTTTTCCTTACTAGCTACCCCAAAAAATTTCTCTCGTCATTCTGAACAACTTTCCCATACATCACTTTTTGGTCCAATGAAGTTTTGGTCAAGTTGGGTACTCCCCCCACTCCAAAGGGGAGCAACCCCCATTTCCACTAAATTATTTAAAAACTGCTGGCTTACTCGCTATATGAAAAATTGACATGGTTCTTTTTCAAAAAAATAATTTTATACGTCGCAAAATCTAAAAACGATATAATGGTCTTTTCTATCGTAAATTTTCCAAAAAAAATTCAAATAAATTACTCCCAGGCTACAGATTTACCGGCATTAAAATTGTAATGTTACTAACCATTACATTAACATAAATGTTTGTAATAGCTACTACAATTGTATTAGATATTACTGTAATGCTAAAAATCTGACATTACAATTGTAATAGCATAAATTTTTTGCCGTTAAAAAAAGAGATTTTTTTGGAAAAATCATGATTTTATAACAGTTTGCCTAGGCCATACGGGGCGAGGTACAAATTTTTTTTTGGTAGGTACGCATAGTACATAATTAGTACGTAATTATGGCATAAGCACATTTTCAATTTTTTTTTTGTCGTCCGCATATTGTCACGGAACTGACTTTTCATATGCGCTATCCGCAAAATGTGTATGAAGCATTCGATACCGTCCGCAAATTGGATGTATATTCGAATGACCGCACATGTGAAAGTCGAAACTGGGGACTAGGTTTAAATAATTGTACCAAAAATGTACTTAATTGTACCGCAATTTATTTTTAATTGTACCTTACTCGTTTGGCTAATATTTGAGGTTCAAATTTCGGGGTACTTCAATTTGCCGGTCAACTAGCCAAAATAAAACTCAAAGATATTTTTTAGAATTTTATGGCTGATAATAATTGTACCTAAAATGTACCTTCAAAATAACATCATCATAAAGTCATTACTTCGATGGTGTTCTTCTGCAGAGCATGTCCTTCAAAATTCACGGGGGGTTTCCCGAAAAAATGGCGAAAATGAAAATCAACGATAATTTTTCAAATTTTATGGCTTATAATAATTGTACCAAAAATGTACTTAATAGTACCGCAATTTATTTT